AGTAGTCCCTTCGAGCCTGCAGTAGACACCAAACGTCATCGTAAGAGCCCTCAAAAGTAGTCGTAAGGGGCTTCAGAGGTCATCGTTAGGGCCATCATAGTCCAACGCGGCCAAACAAGCCTCCGTGGTGGCGTTCGGAGACCACTGTGGGGCCCTTATAGGTCTTCATGATGCTTGAGGGCCCTCGAGCCCATCGTGGGGACCTCAGATGCCAGCGCGGCCCGTGGAGGCAACGTGGGAGCCCTCAAAGGATGTCGTGAGGGGCCCTGGAGCCAATATTGGGGCCCACAGTTATTGGCACAGGCCCACGTCGTGAGGGCTCTCAGAGTCAGATGCCGCCCAAACAGTCGCTGTGTGGGCCGAGAGACCGGCATGGGGAGCTACCGACCGTACTGGACTCTCAATAGTCCCAGATCGGCTTTTTTCTCTCATCACAAGTATGTAATAAATGATTTGACGGTCTGCTTGAAGGACAGCCTATGGATTTAGGGGGGGGGGGCGTCTTTCCCCATCAGGACAGGGGGCATCTTACCCCAAGGCACAGAATTAACATTAAATCAGTACAATTTGTTAGCCATAAAACTACACCCTGAAACAAACTGTTTGGGACACAGTACACGCATGTTAATGTATCACGACCATAGCAAGGAACATAAAAATTATTTACATTCTTTGATATTTACAATGTTTTGACACCAAAATATTTTTCGAAAGCAGCAAATAAAAAACATTTAATCACCAGCCAGCCGTTACCAAACTGAGCTTCGCAAATTTTTGTGCAGTTGACAAGCCAGACTTCCGCTTTACGCTAAGAACATTAATTTCCAGGTTCGATTCTTTGTTTTGCCGCTAGAGGGGGTGGGGCGTCTTTCCCACCCTGGGCATCTTACCCTACTCTCCCCTACTATAGCCGCGTTGCAGCCGACCAGTGCCTTGGAAAGCGTCCGTCATCACAGCGGAGCCTCCGGGTCCGACCAGCGTCAGAGAAATCTCAGCGGCATGGCGACACCACCCGGCTCGCGGCGGCTCTGTCTCGTCTCGGCGCCACCGCATGTCGTCGCTCATCGTCGCGTCGGCGGCGACGGTCCCAATCACCCTGAGTGACGGAGTGGCCGGCGGTTCCCAGACGATGAACCGCTGTCGGCTCCGACACCTCCGTCCCCGCCCGGAGAGAGAGAGAGAGAGAGAGAGAGAGAGAGAGAGAGAGAGAGAGAGAGAGAGAGAGAGAGAGAGGGAGGGAGAGAGAGAGAGAGAGAGGGAGGGAGGGAGGGAGGGAGGGAGGGAGGGAGGGAGAGGGAGAGAGAGAGGGAGAGAGAGAGAGAGGGAGGGAGGGAGGGAGAGCAAGGGAGAGAGAGGAAGACAGAGTGAGAGAGAGAGGAAGGGAGAGCGAGGGAAAGAGAGAGGGAGAAAGGGAAAGAGAGAGGGAGAAAGGGAAAGAAAGGAGAGCGAGAAAGAGAGAGAGAGATAAAGTAAGAGAAAGGGAGGGAGAGGGGAGAGTGAGAGAGAGGGACAGAAATTAAGTGAGTGAGTGAGTGAGTGAGTGAGTGAGTGAGTGAGTGAGTGAGTGAGTGAGTGAGTGAGTGAGTGAGTGAGTGAGTGAGTGAGAGAGAGAGAGAGAGAGAGGGGGAGGGAGAGGGGAGAGAGGGGGAGGGAGGGAGATACAGAGCTCGCGCTGCAGCAGTAATTGAATGGCAGATCGGCGGCGGCGGCGAGCACCGCAAACCCATCCGCAGAGCCGGCCGGCCGGAAGGAAGCCCGCTAATCGTTTTATTATACACCACGGCGGGGGCATTAGCGGCGCGCGGCGCGGGGAACAGAGCGCCGGGACAGAGTCGTCACAAGACGGACACTTAATTCGCAATGAGCACCGAGCGGCGGCCCCGACAGGCAGACAATCGCGGCGGGGGCGCTACTTCATCACTCGGAGAGGACCGACTGGTGGGCGGGCGGATAGCGGGCTGGTCAGAGGTCTGTGACTGACCACAGGATGGGGAGTAGGTAATGAAACAATGTGAGGACGATGAATAAATAAGCAGGATTGTTAATTGCCCTAGAACTAAAATGTGTCTATATAGGCCATAGGGCGTAATAATATGTGAGTGTGCGGTTAACTGCGTTGGTAACTAGGTAGCGGCGTTATGCGACTACGATGACAAATCAAATCAAACCTCTTTGGATAAACACCCAAACCCCAATTCAAATCGCTCAATCTCAGTGCCACAAAGCTCCTTCAACAGCGTGCTACCGCCCAGATCTTGCCAGCCGGTGTGAGTTGTCGCCGGCCAGCGCTCCGCCATCAAACTGTCACCTCGGCGCGGTCCGGTCCGAAAATATGCGCCCGCTCGCCGCCCGTATGTCGCCCGGCCGGCGCCATGGAGCGCGGCGAATCAGTTCGTCGCCGCCGACGATACGTCATCGACGACGACCGACGGGTAATTTAATCGGCCGTCGTCGGCGACAGTGCCGCGCGGCCGGCGCGCGAGCCTAACGAAGACTGACGAGCCGCGCGCGCAGCTCCGAAAGGGATCCGGGGCCGACCGCGATCTGCAAATCGAATTAGCTCCGAGCATAAACTGAATCAGCGCCGACCGAGCGGGCACCGATCGCGGCCAGAGGATGATCGCCGCGACGGCTCGACAGCCGGCGGTAACGCGAGAGCGCCAGTGACAAAGGCCCCTGACCCCCGTCCGGAGCCCCCCCCCCCCTGACAGAGGGGACAGTCACGAGCCACTGGGCGCTCACATGCCGTGGATTTGCCACGGCAGGGGAGGCACAGAGGTGCTGTGGAAGGGGAGTCTGGGAACCTTCCCCGCCGAATGATCTGTTTTCGTTAGCGGTGCTTAGGGTGAAAATGGAGATCGATATTGTGTATTTAGCAAGTGTTCTCGGTGAATCAATGGGCATAATGATAACCCTATACCAATAGCAGTTACTGGGGGAGGAGGAGGGGCTGGTAAGGAGTACCTAAATTAAAGCTACAGCTGTGATTTGCAGGACAAAACTTCTAAAACAACAGTCATATCTTGGCTCACAGCAAGTTATACGTAATACGTATCTCGTTATGTTAATTTTTTCGGACGTAGCTAAGCTAGTTGCCAGTTGGTTTCATTCGCTGGTGGACACAGGTCTGCATGATGCTGCTTAAAAGAAGAAAGCTTGTCTTTCTTCCGATCCAGGCCCAGCGCCAGTGTATCAAATTTTGTTCGAAGCACACCTCATATATATAGCCGACGATGCCCCGCTGACAGCGCCCGCCAAGCGCACATCATCGCCGTCATTTTCTCTGACGGCGCACGTCGAGCTGCTGCGCCGCTCGGCATCGGCCCTGCGCTGCAAATCGCCCATCGCGCGCCACTTCCGTCGCTATGCGAGCTCCGCCGCCCTGCCGGCCACCGTATCCGGCTCAGCGAGACGTGCGCCATTTTCGCCGCTAGTGCGCCATCGTCGCCACATCCGGCGCGCGCTCGGGACGCGCCGGCGACACCCTAATTGAGACGCCGATGGCTGGCCATTCCATTTGCGACAGGCGCGTCTTATTCGCCGTTTGTTACACAAATCACTTCCCGCCGCCGACGGCCGAGTCGCTGTCGGTTTACGAGCCGCGGAGAATCGACGACATTGTGATGGTAATCGGACTCTGTGGCGTCGACAGCGGCGGGCGGCAACACATGGAACGACGCCGCCGACGGCACACAGGGCGGTCGGCGCGGGCGGTGGTCGTGGGAGCAGAGGCACAGGGTAGATGGTGGGAGGGAGAGAACTGGGAGGGAGGGCGATACAGAGAGAACGAGTGAGAGAAAAAGATCGAAAACGAAATAAAGCACAAGGGGAAATGTCCATAAAGACCAGAGCCAGAGTTCAAAGAGCTGAACCAGTACAGAGCCAACATAGAGTTGACCTTCAAAGACGTGCTTACTCACTACCTGCCAACCTTGGAATGCGACCTTCGCAGGAAAAAGTTAAAAGAGAAAGAAAGTAGGCGTCATCAATCGCTGTGTCATAACACCTGTCCAACTGGCCTTGTAATTTTCAAAACATTGAGCGGGCAGTCCTGGAGCCGGGTGATACCTGGTCCAGGCCAAGCTACACCAGTCAGCTAGCGATAGTGCCACCCAACTGCGCACGCGCTCGATCAGTTACAGAGGGGTTTCAGCTGACCATGAGTACTGGTGGGTCCTGCAGTAAGCGGTACCTAGTCTGCGTCCGCGTGATAAAGCAGCATCAAGCGGTGGGCTGGTCCAAGCGGCTCCTCCCCAAGTCCTAGACACCATGCTAAATTTACAGATGTTGAACCCACGTTCTTTGCGACTTTTTAGAAGCCCTGGTAACCTGTCAGACAGACACATACTGACGGAAAATCCAGGCCGTTAAGTCCGTTAAGAACCACTCAAGAATGGGCCGAGAAACCTGTATAGAATGGACTAGCATATTTCCCACTAAGAGGGACGTGCGCGTCCCACACCCTCATCGTGTTGACCAGAGCGCAACTCCCCCAGCCATCATTCTGCGCACAAGGTCAGACAGGGCGCCACCTCGGAGCGCGAGGGGCAGCGCAGATGGCAGCACCGGGCGGAGCGCCCACCGCGCTCGGGACTGTAACAGCCAGGTGCACAGCGCCTACCGACCCGGCGACGGGCAGCAGCTCACCGATGACTATCTCGAAGGGATGCCCTAAGAAGCAAATGAAAAGTGATGGAGGCCGAGGAGGAAGAGAAAATGCAGGTACTTACGGTCAAAGGATGACAGGAGTCGCTTCCTTCTTGGAATATTGGTAGCTTGAAGCACGCACAGTCATTCACGGTAACCAAACAATGAGTTAGGAAACGAGGAATTGAAGGAATCTTCAGTCACGCTGACTTATCTGTAAAACGCCAGGAATGCGTTATCGGTTGATCCGGACATTTATGTGGTTTGACACACGATTCCAGCGTTTATTTCTCACACAAGTTTAAAAATCAAAACTAAGTAATGCCATGCCAAAAATATCGCTTACTGAAAAATTGTTTTGTTCAGTGTATTGACCATAATAGAGCATGACTGTTCGACAACATGAAGGCAAACACTTAATGCCACATATTCCTTTCAAGGCAACAATCCTTCGAATCTACATATTATCACACTTATGTTGGACTAGCCAATGCTTGCTCACCTATGCTACGGCAGACCACAGAGATCGTGAGTTGTAAAAGTCTCGACAACAAAAGTTCCCCAGTATCATGAGGCAATGGAAGACTAAGACTTTTTCGAACTATTTCATGATCTGGACACATTCCTTGAACACAGCGGTACAAACGAGCACAAAGACAGACAAACTTTTCGCGAATCATGCAGTCACTATTCACCCACTCAGTAAAGGAGCTTCACTCAGTCTCTGAATCAAGCGAAGAGCCTGCCACGGGTAACAGTCAACACACTGTACGATAACGCCTCTACTACTCACAGTTTAAAACTCGTCAGTATCGGTATCTCGCGTCTCCCACTCCGGCTCAGCACAGGTGCGCCGCTCCAGCTCCTCCAGTACCTCAGCCACCTGCTGCGCGTGCTCCGCCGTCCGGCTGCGCGCGCAGCGCTCCAGCAGCTCCGCCTGCTGCTCGCTCAGCACGGCTGCCAACAGTCCCAGCCGGCGCTGGGCGCCCAGCAGCGGCGCCCGCGCCCACACCAGCTGGCGGCACAGGTTGCTGACGTTATCACTGACGCCGCCCAGGCAGCGGCCCTGGGCGACATCGCACGTGCCGCGACAGTCGAAAAAGTCGCAGTCCTCGTCGGTCGAGCAGACCGTCTCTCGCTGCGTGGCGGCCATCTTCTCCGCGCTGAAGGCGGCGTCCAGATCGACGAAGCGGACTCGTCCCGCGCTGTCAGCCCCGAAGTGGCCCCACTGCAGGTCGCAGAGGTGAAGAGGCAGGACGGAAGAGAGGTGGAGCAAGTAGTGGAGGATGCGCCGGGCGCTGCGTGTCACGTGACACGTGTCCGTTAGGGCTGGGAAAAGGTCCAGCAGGGGTCTATCGAGCAGAAGAGTCATGTGTTCTACTACATAGATGTCGCCACATGTCCCAAGTACTCTAGGGAAAAGCTGGAGATCACTGTAGAGCTGCATTAGCTTGTACTCATCATTGTGAGCAAACCTGACAATCTGCTCCAAGAGTTGGCTGTTCTGCCCAGTGATGATGGAGGATGAGTTATGCCAGGGCCAGAGCAGAGACAGAATATCCAGATTGTCCCTGCCGTTGAGTTCAAAAGCCACCAAGCCCTGAAGCATATCTTGGAAGACTTCTGGAGGCTCCTCGTCCACAGGCAGCAGAGACTGTGTATACTCTTTGGTTAACATGGGAATGTCTTTGTGCTTGAGTACTATTTTCTGATCTTCTGTTTCAGTTACCCTGACAAGATCTTTTGAGGCATGATAGAGATAGCAGTCTGTGTTCAGGGCTGAACAAACAACAGGGCACTTGGTACCAACAGCCTCTGTGTCCTTGCACTGAAACTCAATCACTGAGTTTCCACTATCCATCCAGCACTTGAACACTGCTGATTGTATAAATGCTACAGCAATGGCAATGAACAGCCACACAATTGTACATTTTGACATAAGTTCCATAGTGTACCTATAACTTGAAAAGGCTGAGAAAAATTGTTCAATGTCATTCTTGTGCAAATCTCAGCAAAGGTATCTGCTAAACAAGTGCCTAGTAAACAATTTGCAAGGCAGCCTACTAAGCAGTAGGTAGGTAGGTACAAAATTATAGCACAATTAGCCCAAGATTGAGATGTTGGTGACTCCTGCACGAAATCATGGGTCGGTACTGTCGTAAAGCACGCGTCACACTTCGGTGTATCACTGTATATGGCTGAAGGTCACGGACGTACTATCGATGCGTGTTTTCTATCGATGAGGGCGGGATTACCTGGCGTGACGACGGGGGTCGCGTGTTCAAATCCCGAGAGTGGAACAGAATTCGATGCCGTGTTTTCTATTGATGAGGGGATTTGAGTAGAGCAGCGAGATCGCAATGCACTGAATGACGAATGGGTAACGGTATCGCAGGGACATTGTGGGATTCACCCGACTTCAGCGGGACAAGTGATAGTGGAAGTGGAACTCAGCCGACTACAGCCGAACATATTTGGACTCGGCCGGTCCCATCGGGACACTGTGGGATTCAGCCGGTCCCAGCGGGACGCAATGACACTCAGCCAGTCCCAGCGGGACACAGTGGGATTCATCCGACTTTAGCGGGACATAGTGGGCAAAGCCCGTTCCAGCGGGAAAAATTGGGACTCTGCCAACTGCCGACTTCAGCGGGATATGGTGGGGCTCAGCCCATTCCAGCGGGAAAAATTGGGACTAAGCCGACTTCAGCAGGACATAGTGGGACTAAGCCGACTACAGCGGGACATAGTGGGACTCGGCCGGTCCCAGAGGAATAAAGCGGGACTCAGCTGACTACTGTGGGACAAATTGGGACTCGGCCCACTGCCAACTTCAGGGGAACATAGTGGGACTCAGCCGAGGCCGACTACTGGAACTGGTCCCGCTGGAACTGACTGAGTCCCTCTATGTCCTGCTGAAGTCGGCAGTTGGCCGAGTCCCAAATGATAAGCAGCCCAAAACAAAAGCGTGACAACAAAAACTTGTCATTGCCCATCACACTCGCTTGGAATTATAGACAGCTTTGTCATTAGCTTGAGCTGCAGCATTTACATAGGAATTGTTGCAAGCCTATAGCTCTGCCCTTTATGTTGCAAAAGATGCTTTTGGTGCTTTACAATTTACTAAATGATCCTCTCTGAAGATACGAAGATCACTGCATCGGAATTATAGCGAAACCAAAATAAATGCGCTAGAGCCTAGTCAAAAATGCTATGTGAACGTGACCAAGGCTATATAAGCCAGCGCGACTATTAAAATATTATCAAACGGTACTGGGAGACTAATAAAATCATTTTCTCGCTTTTTGACAACCCGTCTAACCCCAACGAATATGACAACCCGCAAAAATTACCAAAGCAAAACTCCGTTGATCGTTCCCTTAGATCGCGCGTTGTGTGTTGTTTTTTAGCGCGCGTTATGATTGAAATCTGCGCTGTGTTTGAAGTTTGCACAAGTTGTATAATATTATCCTTTCAAAAAGTGCACAAAATTATTATTTGCAATCATATTAGGATACTTTCACCTTATTGAAATAAAGCAAAAAAATTGAATATGACAAAATTGTGAAATTTACCTAAAACACCATCATTTTTTCTAAAATCACCTAGAAAAAAATCATTTTTCCAACTCCAAAAAGAGCATTTTTCTTTTTTACGTAAAAGGAAAATTAAAAAGGAAAAATTTGACATCAAATTACGGATTCAAACTCAATTTTGTTCTTTATAGACTGAGTGTGGATTGAGCAATAACACAGAGGTCACTGGACGCCGGTCTCTGTGTTCGCCCGGGCTCCAAAGAAGCGGAGCGGGGTCAGCGATGGCCGCCCCGACGCACAGCAAAAAGCGAGTTTGCTACTACTACGATAGTAAGTACACATGCACGTATATGTTATGTGGTTCTTAAAATTTTACATTTTGTGTAACACTCCTTAGATTCCGCGTTTACCCCAGCGAAACTGCTAATGCATGTGCGCCATAATTGTCTGCGTATTTTTGAAGGCGGCCGGGTATATTAATTTGTATATTGATATTTTGTTGTGTATTTGTTTAATCTATGTGTGTTATATCGCACCTACATTAATCTGTAACATTATGCTATGTAATTTTCATTGCTACCACTGTCTCCTGACTTGTTTTCAAATCCATGCTTGAGTGAAATATGCTTAGGTACCTACCCTATGTACCACCCTAATGATGAATTTTCACACATGAATTTGTTTTGAAGCATTTTCTAAATTTGTATGCAAAGGTCTTAAATTTTGATGCCACTAATGACTAAGGTTAAAAGGCTCAAAAAGTAAAAGGTTACATACAAAATTAAAAATCAGCTCCGTTAAATTATAAATAGTACTGTAGCCTTTTCCTGATAAGTTCACGGTTGAAGCAGGGCTGTGGAGTTGATTGACTTTCGGTGAATTTGACTCCAACTCTGGCTCTGAGTTCCAAAATTGACTGATTCTGACACCAGTCAGAACTGTGGACCCGGACTGACTCCAACTATGCAGCCCTGCTAGCAGGTCCAAATTTTCCCGACTACTGTGTCGTTGACCTGATGTCATTGAAAGTCGGACAATAATTCCGGTTCTATGACAGAATTTAGAGTCCAAAGTTTAACATGCACACAACATAGCCGCGCACAGCCGGTCCCCTCACTGACTTCGCCTGGCTACGGCCTGCCACCAACTGCAACCATACCTGTCAAGAGGCCAAAAAATGTCAAGTGCCCCTCCCGCATCAAACCCGGACTGTTATAACCGGGAGGGCGTGCTCTCACACCATGCAGAGTCCAACGCTCTACCAACTGAGCTACCGGACCGGGGACCGGCAATCGAGCTAGAACTTCGCAGAAAAATCAGAGTGTTGACCGTGACGAGAGAAAGACGGTGATTTTAAGGTCCTATGTCATCAGTTGACCTTCCAGGCCGGGTCAATGACCCAAAAGTCTGGAAAATCACCTGTCAGAACTTTGTAAAGTAACTGGTTGTTATGGGGTTCTTTGGGTATTGATCACGAATTCCATGTTAGTTTTGATCACAGATGATGTCTTAATGCAGTTCGGCAGGTCGTGTCAGGTCAGATCAGGTTAGATCAGTCAACCAGTAGGCTATCTGCCAGGTATTTATAGTAGGTGTTAAGTACCACTGACAGCTTTGTAACATGTTACAAAGGCATCAAAACTACTTCCTAAATGTTCAAATGGTTGCTAAGTTCGAAATCAGCTAAAACAAAAACTAGCCTAGAAACATGTAAAATTCGAAAAAGTGAACCAAGGTCATCGAAGGTCATTGACCTGACCTTACCTTCACGTGGCCCTGACCCACCATGATGCATGGGACAAACATCATTTCACATGTTTAAACATTTAAAACCACAAAAAGACTGCACACGCGCGAATAATGTGAGCCGACGTACGCCGAATCGCCATTCCGGCCAAACATGGTCTCGAGAAATAGGTCACAGGTCAAAGATCATTTAGGTCAGGGTCATGATATTTTCAGTGTAGGTGTAAAATTAATCAACTCGAGGGTACTGAAAGTTTCGTCGCGATCGGCCGCTTATTGCACGAGTTATTCGCGAAAACCGAGGAGGACTCCATCCGACCCCTCCCCTTACAAGTGCGAGGGTTAAAATTGGGTATCATCGGCTTACTCTCGTCACATGCAACGTGCTCGTTTTTTTCGCGAAGCTCTAGCTCGATCAGGACTGAGCCGAACGGCAAAGGGAGCTGGTATGCGTTAGCGGCTGGCAAAACGCCAATACAGGCCACTGGTCGCAGGGTTAACCCTCGCCGGCCGAGGGAGGGGGGCGGGTGCCGCCCCCCCCCCCCCATAGGGTTTTTTTTCGCGATAGCTCCGAACACGCTGGCGATATAGAGCTGAAACTTAACATACCTGACCTTTGATCCAAGCCGGATCTTTTGACACCAACCGCATTTTTGGGTCAGGTCAGGTCACTGACCTATGACGTCATAAGTGAACCTCTGCACGGTCTTCAGATGTCGCAACTTCGCAACGCCCTCACTGCCAGAGGAGATGTCACAGGGAAATGAAACTTGCAGGATCTAGTATCCATTATGAGTCTCACAACTTGTATATCTCGGATTTTTCCTAAAGGTCATATGAGGTCAGGTCATTTTCGTGACCTCACCATTATAAGTCAATGGGGAAAACTGCTATTCTGGCGCCGGGAACGATCTCCAACTATCTCAAGCACACAGAATCGTGATTTGATGCAATCCTTGCAAGGTTAGATGCGTCACTTTTGCAATGTTGACCTTGCGTGACGTCATTTATGACGTCATCAAGGTCATATAAGTTTTTCGTCAATAACTCTTGATTAAATTGAGCTAGCGACTCGGGAAAGCCACCAATGGAATCAGGAAGACCTGCCGAATCGAACGATATGCGACATGACCTCTTTCGACCAACTTCGTGACCTGGGGGTGCTGACCTGACCTTGACCTGAGGTCAACACCCCAAGTTGACCTGACCCGAACAAAAAGTATATCATTCGACGCGCCTGAGCGAGGCGAACACGATGCTGCCAAAATCGGCGCTTTGCGGCCGTTTTTTTGCGAAGTTATTCACCAAAAACTGAAACGTACCTTTGGGCACTTGACCTGACCTCAGAGGTCACCGGTTGACCTAGGACCTTAAAATCGGGTACCAATCTCTGCGTCTCGAAACGGCGCACACGCTTGTTTTTTCCGCGACGCGCTAGCTCCACCAGGGGCGAAACGGCGAGGGGGGTCGTACCCGCCCCCCCCCCCCCCCCCTCGGCCGGCGAGGGTTAAAAGGTCACTAGCAATTAATCAATAGTAAGTTTTGATGGAGACATGGTAGAGCGATTAAATCACCGGTATGCATTCAGGCCATTAATACAGATCGATGAATATGCAACATGCCTCTACCGGTCAGGACATGACCTTGGCCTGAGGTCAAATTTTGAAGCTTACTTTTTCATGTCAACTCAACAACTAATTTATTCGAAGTATCTCGACGAGAAAACACAGTGGCGGCAAAATGAATATCATGAAATTATTTATGCCAAATTTAGTGCAAAAATGGAGGAAAAAATGTTCCGGCAAAATCGGTATTCAGTCTATTTTGGTGATTTTTGCCCTCTCTGGGCATTTCATTTTGGTCAAATCTGTGGACATGTTGGCAAATAGGCTTTAAAAGGGCTGTCGAATTCGCCTTTCTGCGATTCTAGCTCTTTTTTTCACGAGTTTTGCACCGATTTGTGAAGAGTAGTCATCATCGTGTAAGTTTTCGTGATGAATCTACGTTTGGTGAGCTCCAGTAACCTGAGATCTGACCTTGTCGAAAAAGGACGATAATTCTGAAGGATCTTATAGCGAGCTATAAAAAGAAACTTCTAAGACCATCAAAGGCTGCTCAAAGTGACCAACTGCCTTTGAAATGACCTCTAAACCGCAAATCGAGTGATGGAACGTGAAGTGAACGTGGAACCCCAAGATGTGAAACACCTGGCTTCCACCTGCAGGATATTAACTCGGCCGATTCCGTGTTCCAGGCGATGTAGGCAACTACTACTATGGGCAGGGGCACCCCATGAAGCCCCACAGGATACGTATGACACACAACCTCCTTCTCAACTATGGCCTCTACAGGAAAATGGAGATATACGTGAGTTGAAACTGTCTTGAAATATCGGGGTTTCTTTCCATTATCTGAGGCCGAATCTCTTCACCACGCTTACTTAGCTCTGATTGTCTTCAAACTTTTTTCAAGCACCTCTATCGTTCTAAATCCACTAGTGGTTTATATTTATCTTCGTTAGTATCTCAGCTCATGTCCAGTGTGTTGATATGATTGACACGTTGCTAGGCTTCACTCCTTACCCCACCCGCCGACTCTGCCGATAGCGGCCGCACAAGGCCACGCAGGAAGAGATGACCAAGTTCCACAGCGACGACTACATTCGCTTCCTGCGCTCCATTCGGCCGGACAACATGTCAGAGTACAACAAACAGATGCAGCGGTGTGAGTACTTAGAAAAGTCGCGTGTCTACCGTTAAGCCTATCGTCTGCAGCGGGGTTCATTCAACATGTGTCGCATTTGTGAAGAAAATAATGAAATCATTTATGTACTACGTTTTGAATGATACTGCGAGGAGTAATTACCGACGCCTTTTGTGCATTCGTCTGTCGCTGCTGTATTGCAGTACTTAATTCCTTTCACAATTTATTCCTTAAGTCGTCTGGCCCAGTTTGTTCGCCTCTGGCTCTCCTCGCGAACACTTTTTTTGCATTTCATGTAACTCTTTGCCGGTCCCATTGTTGTGACTCTGACCCGTCCCGGCGCCGCCGCCAGCTGACCTGCCTCTCTCTACCCGTCAGTTAACGTAGGCGAGGACTGTCCGGTGTTTGACGGCCTGTACGAGTTCTGTCAACTGTCCACCGGCGGCTCGGTGGCCGGCGCCGTCAAACTCAACCAGCAGGCCGCAGAGATCGCCGTCAACTGGGCCGGCGGGCTGCATCACGCCAAAAAGTCCGAGGTGAGACGGAGTAGGTAGCTTTGGAGCTGTCGGCCAGGGTGGTGAGTGGTTGGCGTTGACATAGTAGGAAGTGTGCCTAAGTTCTGGCAGGGTTGGACTCTTCAATTGTCTGAAACTATGCTGTTACGCAATGACCAAATACACGCTGTTGCGCAATAACCAACGGTTATTGCGTCTGAACTTTGCGTTGGCTTTATTCTGCTTGCCAGATATTGGTTGGTAGGTGCGCTTATTACAGCACGAACTCTTGTGGTCTGCCCAGAGTGTTAAGATGGTATCATGGCCGCTTGCAGCAAAATACCTAGCTGGCTGTAATTGGTACGCTATTTTCGTACAAATGCTTGACTAATCAATGGGATTAATTTATCTCAGCTCCTAACTTGAGCCTATCGACATCAAATCAGATGAGATCGACGTTCGACGGATTGTCTGGTAAATTATCACTGTGAGTGGGGACTGGGGTGCAAGATCATCTATCGACGCCATCGAGTTCAGCAACTAGGTAGATGTTTTGGTGCTAGAGGCTTCTGCCGACCTGCACCTTACGACTGCTTCTCCCCCAGGCGTCTGGCTTCTGCTACGTCAACGACATCGTGCTGGCGATTCTGGAGCTGCTCAAGTACCACCAGCGGGTGTTATACATCGACATCGACATTCACCACGGCGACGGCGTCGAGGAGGCCTTCTATACCACCGACCGGGTGATGACGGTGTCCTTCCACAAGTACGGAGAGTACTTCCCCGGCACCGGAGATCTCAGAGTGAGTCGGAGAGGAGGGGTGTGGGGTAATAGATCCTTCCACAAGTACGGAGAGTACTTCCCCGGCACTGAGATCTCAGAGGGGAGGGGGGGGGGGGTAATACCTCCTTCCACAAGTACGGGGAGTACTTCCCCAGCACAGGAGATCTCAGTGATTTGGAGGGAGTGGTAGGGTGTTATGTGATAAGTTTGGGGTAAAATTTAAGTAGTGTTACATTTTTATATTTCACGCAAGGATATATGATTGAGATGGAGCTCGCCAGCATCCACCATTTATATAGACGACTGGATATATAGTGGTCTATGCATCGACGATAGGTTTTTGCGGCTCTTCGCTGATATCTAAGATATCTAAGCTATGACAAGACTTGTCATCCACGTTCACTGTTCAGTGATCACCCAATCTACCGGTATGCACTTTAATGAACGACATATTTCCCTCTGCGCGCAGGACATCGGCGCCGGCCGGGGCAAGTACTACGCGGTCAACTTCCCGCTGCGGGACGGCATCGACGACGAGGTGTACGAGCAGATTTTCGTGCCCATCATGTCCAAGGTGATGGAGACCTACCAGCCGTCGGCGATCGTGCTGCAGTGCGGCGCCGACTCGCTCTCCGGCGACCGGCTCGGCTGCTTCAACCTCACACTCAAAGGTACGGGCTGAAATGGGGTCTTTGAGCACGTAGCTGGGATGAGGGAGGCATTTAGCCCGGCCTGGTGATGCTCAGTAAAAGGCTGTAATGTGGTCAGGTGTTCTAGTTTTGGGGAATGGGTGGATAATAAGAAAGGTTGAGAGTGTAAAGAAATTGAATGAACGCGATGCATTTGTGTACAAATGCGCCCTGCAAACACATCTTCAGTTCAGTCCAAAGCAGCTGTTACTTTCATACATTTTATGGGGCTTATGCTAACTGGCAACCCTGCCAGCGCCCTCCCGATCTCTCAGCGACCTCTGACACCCTTCTGTCCCCGGCCCAGGTCACGCCAAGTGTGTGGAGTTCATCAAGCGGTACAACCTGCCGCTGCTGCTGCTGGGCGGCGGCGGCTACACCATCCGGAACGTGGCGCGCTGCTGGACATACGAGACGGCCGTGGCGCTCAACGTGGACGTGGCCAACGAGCTGCCCTACAACGACTACTTCGAGTACTTCGGGCCCGACTTCAAGCTGCACATCAGCCCGTCCAACATGGCCAACCAGAACACACCCGAGTACCTGGACAAGATCAAGACGCGGCTCTTTGAGAACCTCCGCATGCTGCCGCACGCGCCAGGAGTGCAGGTGAGCCAGCGGCTCTGCCACCGGACCTGGCGGGCCACGTGCCCAGTCGTGCTGATTGAATTCTTCGTTATGAACGTTATCACGTTGCTACTGTATTTTATCTCAATTTCTGGCATAATTGCTTTAAGATCAGGTTCTGTGTTAGCATTTATCAAATTAACTCATATTGTCCCTTTGTATTTGCGTGTCCCTTTGTATTGCGAAGCACAGAGGGTACTTTGTTCATGGGCGAATTGATCATGGATAGCCCCTAACCACTCTACCACCGGCTCCCGCAGGCCCAGGCGATCCCCGAGGACGCGGTCAATGACGAAGAGGACGAGGACGAGGACAAGACGCACCCGCCCGACGAGCGGGTCAGCATCCGCGCCTCGGACAAACGCGTCCAGGGCGACAACGAGTTCTCCGACAGTGAGGACGAGGGCGAGGGCGGCCGGCGCGACGAGCGGTGAGTAACTGGGGAGGGGTGCGTAGAGATGAGCTCTGAGTAGGTGATTGTAGTGTCAGTCGTACCGATTTTAGCTGTTTGTATGATATGTGGATCCTTACTTATGTTTGGAGTTAGAGTTTAAGGATCAGGATGTGTTGTTTAGGGACATGTAATTGATGGTTAGAATGATGATGTTGAGAGTGAGACATGACTTTATTCAGGGAAGCTCTTTAGTGGCCCAGGAGGATGATTTGATGTTTGCTTTGTGATAACAAATTCGGTCTTTTCCTCAGCTCGGCCCGGAAAAAGAAGCTGCGCACGGAGGGCGGCTCTCCGGAGAAGCCAGCGCCCGCCGAGGAGGCCGAGGTTAAGGCAGAGGACGGCAAGGAGGCGGCCAAGCCGGAGACGAAGCCGGCCGGCGGGGGCGACCAGGCGGCCAGCGCGGCGCCCGAGCCCATGTCGACGGCGTGAGACGGTCACCGACCCCAGACACACACACAGACTGACTGACAGAGAGGGTTTTATACGTACCGCATTTTCCCGTTCATCGTGGCTAAGTGTCGGTGTCGGTAGCGCGACACGTTGATTGGTCGACAGGCTCGATTCCTGGCGCCGGATTGGCCGGCGCAGTGGCGGCGGCGCGCTGATTGGACGAGAGGCTGAATGGCGTGCGCTGATTGGCTGCCGCCGAGCGGTGGCGGCGCGCCGGTTGGTCGGAGCGCGCGGCGCGCGCGGGACGAAGTCCGCTGATGCACTCTGTGTCGGGATAATGGTGCCGCTTTATTTTGTACGGTCTCAGCAGTGTTTGTTGCAACCCCAGTTCTGCCGTCGCGGCCCGGCCGCGGCGGCAGGGGCGCGTCACCCTCGCATTCGTACACCCGAGCATCGCCAAAAGGGAGCATCATTATCATCCTTCACCTCATGACTCTATAAATTCGCATCGTTAAGGTTATGTGATTAGCTAGTAGGTTACCTCTCATGTGAACAATAAAGTGCTGCTAAAATGTTGCAAGGGTTTTGTCGCAGTAGAATGAGAACATTCGTCACATGGCGTATACGTACGGTTGAATTGCGATGCACTGACGGATCCGGGGGGGGGGGGCGTTTGGGGCAAATGTCCTTCCCCCCCCCCCCCAGCAGCGTCCAAGACCACCTTTCTGGATCCGTTAGTGTCGCGATGTGTCGTGAACATCGTTTAATTGTGAATTGATAGTATCCGTATGACTTTACCGCCGGAAGGTCAATGCCTAGCTTAGTGATAATGGGCGGCCACTTTTCACCCGTCCGTGGGGCTGCGATGAATCTCTAACAACTGGTTGGCTAATGTCTAGCCGTCTTGTCTGATGGTTGCTGCATGCTGAGTTGTCGCCGTTTCACCGTCATGCGGGTGAAAATATATTAAACAGTCCCGACGTCCAAATTTCAAGGTCAAGAAATATGGCCTATAACTTTTTTGCGAGCAAAGCCTCTATAATGATAAGCATTGTTCGTGCTGTTTCTGATGGTTTCTAATGGTATTTTTCTACGGGTTTCTAATGGTATTTTTCTAGGGTTGCTATGTCGTTCGGTCCCGACTCGCGTCGGTGTCAGAGTCCGTTTCTCCATGTGAAAACCAAAAGAGACGCAAGCAGTTTTGGCTTCATGTAGCAGGTATTCAGCATGCTCTAATTTTCACTTTAATTTTTAGTTTGAGTGCCCACTAGATACTGACCAAATGATGCGGTACTTATTTCATGCATGTTCGATCTCATGTCTCGACAGCATTCATATTTTAGTTGCGCTGTCTGCTTTGATCGATGCCCCAAAACTGACGCTATTATTTGCAAACTGGCGCAGTTGATCAATAACGCCGAGAGCTTTCGGTGGTTGCTTAGTTAGTGTTTTTTCTATCTCAATTTTGCGATAATAAAGCAACCTGGATAAAGCTAGGACGTCCAACAAATCTGGTAAGGTGTTGAGTAACATGTGTCATAGGCAAGTCGCATATATATTCGGAGCAAAGGCTGGAATGTCTAGATCAATCACAATGAGAGCTGTTTCAGTTTGTCGTCGGGTCACTGTGCCTTTCCTTGCAATTTTGAGTTAATTTAAGTGAAAATAGGCAGGTTGAGATTATCAATGTTGCAAATACCTTTCATCCAACATTGCTTAACAATTGTTAGAAAATTGGTGGCCGAAAATTGTGGATGGCTGGTAATTGATCATGATGGTCGTCAAATCATAAGTAAAAAGTAGGAACAAGAATTGTCGAATGTCGGGCAATAAATGTGTTAAATGTTAGCACTTAGCTTACTAGCAATTTAATGACTAGCATTAAATATTAAATGATTTAATGATGGCTGTAAAGTAGCAATCAACAAAAGGTATTTGCTACATTACAATGGACAGTCGTAAGGTTAAATATGAAGGTGCTGGTGCATGATCAAATGTATGTTGTTTATAGTTTCCATTCATTGGCTGATGGTGTTTAAGGGAGAAGAGTAACCCAGCCAATGAATACCAGTTTTTCAAGAGTGTTTTCTGATCAGTTATGTTTTTTGCAGACAAAATGCCAGCAAAGGCAGAAGATATTTTAAAAGGATTTCAGGTGTATCCTTTGTCAAAATGTGGTGTGAGAATTGAGAGCCTGGGTACCTATGTTTATCTCCAATTTTCCTGCTTAGCTGTAGCAGTTGAGACTGAATCCCACTGTCCTTGTCACAACACATGCAGCTGCTTGTTTGCCAATTTGCATCAGATTGGTATTAGGTTTGTTTTACATTCTTTAAATACAATATGAATTTACCTGTTGCTGTAGGTAACAATTGATCTTCTGGCTTACTAACAAGTGAAGGTTTCACTTCAATTTGTTTCAACATACATATGATATTTCACTGTGAATTTTTGTGCAGCTAGGCTAGGTCTATAACATGTTGCATAGGTACTGCATTCTTCATTCAGGTACTGTGGTTCTTAGTATACCTACATGGATATTATGGTCTGCTCAGTTTTCCTTAACCAGACACATGCAGTAACTGGATGAACCTAAGAGATGCTGATGATGGGAAAATCCTGTGGCAAGGAAATGAAGATCTGTGAGTATCCCTTCCACTCATCCTAATTTGTTGGTATGCTTTTATGTATAGGCATTCATTTACTTATGCTTTTTCTAAAAGCCTGCTAATGCTCATATTTTTCTGTTTTGTCTCTCAGTTTTCCACCTTTACTTCTCAGCTATTGTGATAGGTGGTTTTCAAGGTGATTGACAAAGGGCATGATTGTTCTCAGACTGTTCTCTGACAATTTGTTTTAATTTGACTAGAATATCCCAAGTTGAATGTGATGAAATATTATATGCTGCCACCTTGTCTTTTTCTTATTTGTCCATTCTTCATTCATTCATTCATTCATTCATTCATTGATTCAATCATTGTGAACTCAGGACTCCATTATCATTGCTGATCTATCTCGTTAAATTGTGGCTCGTCTGGATCTCAGGTCCCTGCCGGACGTGGAGCATGAAGCCCGCGTGCCCAAGACGATCCTGAAATGTCGCGCGATCTCGCGGGAAATCAACTTCACCTCCGCCGAGTCGATGGAGCGGTTTCGACTAGAGCAGCGTGTCCTTTTCAAGGTATGACAACACGAGTTACGACGAGCCCGAATATCTGTTAACTTTTGCATAAGAAACCACAGATAAGAAACATTCATATAAGTAAAGGATATAAATAAAGTCCCTTACAGCTTGTTATTCCTGAAGCGAGACCTATTGAAGTAATGGGTGGCCAAAGAGCACATTTAAACTCCCTGCCTGCTCATTTGCAAGTTTCTTTATGATTCCAAGAGAGCTGATCTATGTATCATTGTATCAACTATCAACTGATGTCCTTTATGTGGTCACCCTCACCAGGGTCGCTGCCTGGAGGAGTGGTCCTTTGACTTTGGTTACGTGATCCCCAACTCGACCAACACCTGGCAGAGCGTCATCGAGGCGGCTCCTGAGAGCCAGATGATGCCGGCCAACGTGCTCAAGTGAGTGCTGCAGAATGTCGATAGGGCACGCACCGTTACATTCAAACCTACCGCTACCGTTTTGACCTGTCGGCTTCCCATCGTCCCGATGCATTAGCTTATCACTTGTATCTGTCAGTCATTCTATGACAGCGATGAAGGCGCAATAGTCATCGTAGTTATATCATGCTCAACTTCATTCATTCATTCATAGTGTTGTCACAGACAACTATTTGTGTTATTCAGGTTGCTATTTCTTACGATAGGACTGCTTGTATCGGCAAAATGCTGAACATATTTAAAAGGCGACAACATTTTCCAATTCAATATTGCCAATCCCTCAAACACTCTCCCCCCGTTGTTTCACAGTGGTAACGTCATCATCGAGACCCAGTTTTTCGACGACGACCTGCTGGTCTCCACCTCCCAGGTCCGCCTGTTCTACGTGTAGTTCAGCTCCTCTGCAGAGCGGAGCCAGTCAGTGGTCAGCGCCTCGACCCTGGACGACACCCGGGTCCGGGCGGGGGCGCCGACGGGAGCGGTCTGTCCCATGGTTTGTCAGTGTTATTGTATCGGCCTCTCTTGCCCGCCGCTGGTGCACAAGACGCACGCTTTCTTCTTGTATCCGTGCCGCGGGCGTTGGTCGTTCTCGGGAAAATGTCATTGATTCGGTCGTGGTTCAGGGATGGACGCAGGAGCCCGGCATAGTTTTTTTTTCCTGAGGATGGAACCGTTTCTGGTCTCAACTACACTCAAGGATGGGCCAGCTAAATCCCAACGAAGATCTGATGATAGCGAGTCAGCGACAACTGAATCGTGAACGTCAGGTTCCCGCTGCAGCGGTATGAGATAAGTCGGCCCGACCAATTACTAGCCTGCGTGTCGATGTTTTGTGTACGGTACGGATAAGGATCCTATTGTGTGATAACTGTAATTCATAGGATATTTGGTCAGATGCTGTGTAGTTGAGTTGGCCAACTTGAACGCCAGTCATTCGGACAGCCGAATATAAACCGTACAAATGTTTAAGTTGAGGGGGTTTTGCGGACCAGCTTTGTTGCATTAGCATCTGTTACTGTGGCTAAGGGCCGGTCATGGTTCATTGTGGTGTGGTTTCAATAGCCAAATGTATCCTACGCTCTGAAAGGCCGATTAGGTCAGCGAAGAGGAGCAAATTTGTCTCGAACATCATCGTCGTCATACTGGTTGGTACGCGTTTGTTTTGTTTGCTTCGTTGTCACTTCGGGAGTGGCCAGGGTATAGAGCTTCTCGCCTTTGTTGTGTGGAGCCTCATTATCGGATCCGTGTGTTAGTACCGATGTCATTATCGCAATCACGCCGGTCCGTACTACTAGTCCGTACGTACTAGTAGTTCTGTTTCTTGGCCGAAATATTCGGGTTATCGTTTTTCCGTTACCAGTGGTTTGCCTTACCCTCCTGACGCTGACAATCCAAGACGTACAAATCAGTGAAAGGACGCTTGATTCGCGGAAACGCTCGGTTATGGGACCTGTTCTGATGTGGCGGAGAAAAACTCAAAATTATTGACATCTTTCGAAACTCAACTATAACTGTCAGAACCTAAGCTCTGCCGACCGCGAGTTAGTTGGCTGCGATCACTTACTCCCACAGCATCGTGTTCTCTATGGTCAACACTCAAATGTGACTCGGTATGTGTGTCTCACCAGTACACCATTCTGTGGTCGTTGTGTCACCGTTTCTGACAAGAGGCACATCTCCCCACCGCGCACGGATCATGCCGATGTTTGACGTTTTAGTGACGATCCAGATATGCCACCGCGTCCTGTGGCTGTGTGATGTGGTTCCTCACAAATATATGTGATATCACAAAAACGGCGTTTCTCGGCTGCAGATGACGAATCAACTAGATAATCTACTATATAGCAAACTGGGACGAATGTTTTGTGAACGAACTGAATGCTGATTAAAACCATAAGAAATCAATCATCACCCCTAAAAACTCTTCCATTTACGCTTCACTCCTCGCTAGAACCATCTTATCACGACGTATCAGCTATATATTGCATCAAAACACTCGACAGTCGACACACACGGGGCCAGTAAAGCGGCCCGGCTACACGTCCAGTAGGTACACCATGAACAACCTGCCCGGTCCGGCGCGGCGCGCGGCTCGGGTTACGCGGCCGGCCGCCGCTCCATCAGCTCCTCCGTCTCCTTTCGTACGATGCGCTGGTACTTGCGCGCGATGTGAGGGGTGTAGTACCACGCCTTGTAGTCGCCGCGCTCGGCCATCAGCTTCTTGACGCGCTTCTCAATCAGCCTGCGGAGGGAGACGGTGGTTAGTGCCTAGTGGCCATCAGCAGTATGTATGAATGTGTGTGTGGGGGGGGGGGGAGCATAATATTTTGTCGGTTGTGGACGCACAAAAAGAACAGGTAACAAGCGTAATGAAATTGATATCTTTCATCCGACAAAACGCGTTGATACGTCACAGTCTGTTACGAGGTAGGTACCTAAGTATTATTTGGATCATTAGCCTCCGTATGCATCAGCCTACCGGTATGCCTTGATGGACTTCGCTGTTGTAGATCCTTGCCAGAATTATCATTTAAAAAAAAAACAGTCATGTGCAGGGAACGAGCTTTTACCTCGACATCTATATCGTTCAGTCCGTGCCAACTCACTGAGTTGGCACGGACTCGTACACGAGTTGGCACGGTACGGACACGGAAAGGGGGTGAGTCTTAACTCGTATCTCACGTCTGCTCTCACCTGAGCTGCCGTTTGTGCTCGGTCTCCCAGATGTACTGCATCTTCTTCTCGTACTCCATCTGCTCGTTGCGGGTGAAGTTGCGCACCAGGAAGCGCGTGATGGGCGACTTGTAGTACTCATCCTCCCGTGGCACGTAGCCCTCGGGGATCTCGGACAGCGTGGCCGGACCGACCATCATGTTGGTGATGCCGATACCGGCCAGCAGCGGGATGGCCGCGCCCACAAAGTACAGGTGCAGCATGTCCTTGAACTTGTTCCATTGGAAGCGCGACGGGATGATGTTCATCGCCCGGTGATCGCTCATTTTGGCGACTGCCGAACGTTAAAAGTCGTCGAAAGTCGTCAGCGTGCGGAGCATTATTTCGGCACAAATAACTTGATAACTTTAAATAACATGATCTGAGATGGGAATGACCAGCAGATAAAGCATACTCAGGAAAATGCACACATCCAAACCATCGCAGAATGTTCAAAGGCTAAACATAAAAGAATTATCAATGCTGGAGCAAAGGCAAAGCTGAATTCCACTCTGCCAGTAAAACACTGCTCTATCATGAATGCCATGCTAAATGAAACATCAGCAATTTACCTTGCTGTGAGTTGTGGGTGATGGCCAGCCGGGCCGGGCCGGCAGCAGTGCGGAGCACACTTAGTACTGTCATGATGCTGATGAAGGCAGCCTTCAGTCAGGTGTTAGGTACCTGACCCAATACTGCCTGGAAAGGGGGCAAATGTCATGAGATCAGGCTACAGTCATGCCTCAGTTAAGTACTCTTGACTGGATCACCAAGAAATCAGGGACGTTAAGCCAGAGTCAACAGTTCCCGATGGAGCTAGTAATTAACCTCCTATAAAATCTGATTTAAAAATCAATATTGCAATGCTTACAAATCATGTTCTAACCCTGTGTGTAAAAATCATTTTTTTTTCAATGATTCTCATTGTTTGTTAAATCTCATCAAATCCGATGACATGCCCACTCCAGTTTCAGGCAAGCTATGTGAGCCTGAAAGGCAGAAAATCCAAATCAAAATGGGACCCATGCCATTATGATAAAAGAATGGAATAAAGGCCACCTGGCTTGGTAAAATCACATTTTCAAACTCAAGCTTGGTATTTCAATTTTGATTATTTTGTTGGATTGTAGCATGTCTGTCAGACGTCACGGCATATAACCATAAGCAGCAAGCGTGACGAGAGAAAATCAGCCACACATAATCACAGAAAATTCAAATAATGTGAAACATCATGAAACATAAAATTCGCACCCATTCACCCCCCACTCCAATAGCATCAACAACTCACAAATGAGTTCGCGGAAGAGGAATGTTTTAGAGGAGCTGTATTATTTTCCAGCAAATCCACCAGGGGAAATATTGCTATGATTTTCTTTGTTTTTTAGATTTATTTGTCTTTGTTTATTTCATTTTTGAAAATTGTTATAATAATCAATACACATTTTTAATAACTGATATACGATATTGGCTTAAACACATAAAAATTTATTACCAATATAAAAAGTTTCATTTTTCCGCTAGAAGCGCTGTAAATACACAAGTGGAGCTACTGTTTTTGACCTTTATGGCGCACTTTTATTTATTTTGCATTTATTCCGCTGAGGGCCATTGAATTTTCAGTTTGTTTGCGGTGGCTGCCGTGGTATCAGTGTTTTTATATACCTTGCGTGGTATAAACTGTTTTGAGGGCGGATATTCTATGGAAATGGCTACACAGCGGTGATATAGTGCCTGTCACCCCTTCAATTTAAGGTACACAGCGTTAATTCCTACTAATGCCTGCCATCGTATTGAATTATTCGGCGAACTGTTCCAGTTCAAGTTCCAGTTCACTGAATCAGACGACTCAAACTCAGATGGTGATTTACTGATGTTCCTGGTGACTTATTTCGTTTTTTGCTTTGCTTTAAAATTTTTGAGCCCTTAACAAACCAGGGTGTTACCATGAGTCTTAACAATCCAGATTCTATAGCTTAATATGTTAGCATTTTGTAGTTAAATGTGTTTGGGAGTGCTCCCTGTGATGTTCCGTTCATTCAAAGTGTATCCGATTATAAGTCATCCTTGAATAACTTCAGCACAGTAGACTATGCTACAAACTTGAACTTCTAGGTGACATCCATCCTCTAAGTGATGTAAGCTGTGGCTTCATAAGTGCTTTTTAGAATGAAGTGGGTTTCTGCTGTTTAAGTTAAATATGTAAAATGTGGTATTAGGTAGGTGCCTACCTACCTCGCGCTTCAATTCAACATTTAATAGGCAACAGTGATTTCACATCTTATTACTATCATTGCTCTTCTGTTCCACAGATGCTTGGCATGACTGGGAGTGAAGAAATCATGGCCAATGGACACAGTGACTATGATCTTGGTAAGGAGCAAGGCAATATAGTAAGGAATGTGCTGTTACATGTAGTTTGTTCAGTTAGGTGTGTTTTAGGTTTTGTCATATTTGCTGACTTGCTTTCACTGACCATGTCAATCGCCAGTGAGCCTGGCCCCGAAAAAAACTAAGGCCTGCCTAGAATGCATGAGCGAGCATTTTGTTGAGCATTATCTGCAGACGTCGCCGGTACAATGGTCTCTGACATTGACGGCCGTGTTTCCTGCAGATATCGACGGTGTGGTGGCGGAGCTGGGTCGGCTGCGCTCCTCTCTCGGCAGCAGCGAGGAGGAGTTTGGCTTCCTGGCCAACCTCCTGCAGAGCTCTCAGCTACAGAGTCTCGTGCAGGTGAGCGAGGCCAACGAGATAGAGAGGGAAGGGTTGTTTCTAGAGGCTGAATAGTGAGATGAGACTTACACTTTACGAAGTGTCATCGTTCCCATTTATATATTCAACCGCAAAGCGACAAGTTATTCGTTGAATTCGTTAAAAAGTTCGTATTTACGCTGGCAGACACGTACTCTGTTTTATCTCAATATTCTGTACAATACCGCCGATCATTTCCCGCTGGTGACGCTGTGTGCGTTACGGCAGGCGCACAGTACCATCATGTCGACGATGGTGGAGAACCAGTGCCAGCCGGTGCTCTCCTCGGCCGAGGATATCGCCTTCGAGGTGATGGGCGAGATCCAGCTGAAGGGCCTCACAGAGCCCGACGCCGTGGAGCTGTTCCGGCTTCTGCAGACCCCGCACATGCTGGTCAGTCAGGCGCCGCGGGGTCGGAGGCGCACGATGGGGAATGTGCTGTGAGATATCCGTGCGGTGTTACGATGTGTGGTTTTTATTTTGTTTGCTTTGTGACCCTCGAGTCTCGATCCGTATTTTTCGAACATGCCCGAATCACCGCTGCTAATATCACTGCAGTTTTTATTGGGGGGGGGGGGAGGGGGCTAATGTCCGTCCGAGGAATGAAATGAGGTGACTGCTGTTTTTTTTTTTGCGTGATCAAATGATCATCATTTATTTGTGTATATAAATCATCGTCATCCCTAGTCATTTCTCCTCTTGATAATCTACGACACTCTCCTCCTCAAGAATGAACGAGACTGACGCCTGCTGTTTATTATTCACGAACCGTGGAACAGGACAGTACCCCGTAATTCGACCCGCCCTCCCGTAGTTCAGCGTGTCGCCGGTCGTCGAGTTGATCACCCAGACAGTTTCATGGACCGGCTAGTCGACCGTCTGGTCCATCAGCCTACTCGCTGTCTGGGTGGGGTCGGCCGTCTCCCCTCCTTTGGACAATGTCGGTCTCACGGGGCCGGAGTTAACTGTCAATTGTCCGGGCTTTGTTTGTCTACCGACTGAACTTTATTGGTCCCGTGATTGCTTCGTTCGGAGATTGGTGTTTGGTTTGGGCCGCGGCGCCCGCTGACGTTTGCCGCTGTCAGAGATTTTCTGTGGTAGCGGCGGTTAGTCTCTTTCGGCAGTCGGGCTCGCAACTCGACCGGTTTCTGCTTTTTTGTTGAAGCGCACCATTAAATTTTTTAGACAATCCATAACAAGTCGTTGTTTTCGAAGCATCGACGGGGACCCATCCATGGTTTTCAATTGGTATCAGGCATTAGACATGAAACTGCCGGTAGCGATACACGGTGAAAGTTACATGGCGTTGTTACACATGCTCCTAATTATTTTACTTTTGACTCCTATTTGTCAGTTGTGCTGGATAACGGAAGGCTAATGATATTTTGTCGCTCACGTCATTTCACCAGAGACGAACTACTCTCACCTCCCTCTCTCTCCGTATAAAAAGAAGGGTGTCGACTGAGGTGGGTCACCCCTTCCCCTCCCGTCCCCTCCCCCTGTCGAAGGAGAGTGTCAGCGGAGTCTTCCCCCCCCCCGCTCCCTCCCCGTATCGAAGGAGGGTGTGCGCCTGGAATAGCCGGCCGCCGACGGTCACAGGCTATTGGCCCGGCCAACGACAGCGTAACTCGAGCCCTGCTCGGACCGCCGCCAGCCTGAGATACGACCCGGCGCCGGAGGAAATGATATGCAGTGACCCCGGGAAAATGCCCTTCGAAAGGGGTCGCTAAGTAAATAGCTGACGTAAGGTGAAGAGATTCCTGGTATGGGGTGTTCTGTGGGCATGCCTTTGAGGTTATAAGAGCATCTTGTAATACGCTTTTGGTGATAGCGTGGTCAATGAATATGGTGACGCTACTTTTCATGTATTCTGCTTTCTGTATTTACTGAATCCACCCTTATCATCCACGTCAAATTGGCAATTTCTCCCACTTCTTTTGCGATCCCTCTGTCGGTCGACCTTTCTCCGTTTAACCTACTCCCCCCCCCCATCCCTCTCCCTACTACATTGTCCGTACCGCTGTGGCTCACACCCCTTCCCTCCCCTCCCGCAGAACATTCTGTCGGCCCACGATATGGTGGCCCAGAAGGACTACGTGCCGCTGTGGCTCACACCCCTTCCCTCCCCTCCCGCAGAACATTCTGTCGGCCCACGATATGGTGGCCCAGAAGGACTACGTGCCGCTGTGGCTCACCCTCCCCTCCCCTCCCGCAGAACATTCTGTCCGCCCACGATATGGTGGCCCAGAAGGACTACGTGCCGCTGTGGCTCACACCCCTCCCCTCCCCTCCCGCAGAACATTCTGTCCGCCCACGATATGGTGGCCCAGAAGGATTACGTGCCACGGCTGCCCGAACTGCCCGCCGACGCAGACGACGACGAGGAGGAGACGGTCAAAATCGTCCAGCTGGTCAAGAGCAACGAACCGCTGGTGAGTGCCAATGGAGAAAGGTCAGCGTGCCATGAAGGGAAGGGGGAGGCAGGTTAGCACGATGTCGGGGTCGTCGTTAGGTGAGAAAATGTTAAGAATTATATGGTTGCTAAGCTAGACTTATGAAGACGGCGCGGGCCATTTTTATCGTATCCAATACGGATACGAAGAGGAAATAACTATAGTGTGATGCAACAGACCTGATCGCTTCATCCTGTGTCCTGTGCCAAGTTTTAGTTCTGGGCGATCAATGTATCTCTTTTTCCGTCGTTTATTCGATCTTGATGCCTAACCTAATATATCATGTCCTCTCCCTCACCCTCGTCCCTGATTTCAGGGATTCCGTACCTCCACTCCTCTCTCGGCGCCTCCTCCGGCGGCGGCGCGGCCTCACTCCTCCCCTCCGGTGCGGCTGCGCGCGCGGCTGGCCGCCCCACGCGGACCTCGCTCCCTGTCCAGCCCGCGGCGCCGGCAGGCGGCCCGGCCGGCCGTCTCGGCGCCCAATACCCCGCTCAAGTCGCGGCCGCTGCACCGCCTGCTGGCCGCGCAGGGAGACGAGGAGCCGGCGCCGCGTCCTGTACCCACCGGTGCCGCGCCCGTGACCGCCCTGTCACCGTTTGAGTGTCTGTATTGAGCGGTGTGAAGGGGTGGGGTGTGAGGGAGGAGGGAACAGTGCCTAGGATGTGAGATGGAATCGTTTACAGGTTGGCAAAGATGAAGTGATCACGTTTTGATAATAAATGAGCTCGCTACTCAGACATTATTTGAACTTGATTGGGTTAGTGTGTTGCTTTCATTTCTGCTAAAAAAGTGTGTCATTGAAACTTCACTATAAAATGCAACATTTGATGATGGAAGTGTGTGCACTGTGCATAGCGACAATACTTTTTTTGCTAAGGGACATTTTATGAAGTGTGCACTTCCGTACAAAACAATGCTCTGGGACTTCGGGTAAAATTCACCTTCATCGGCCTGCTTTGTGAAACCGAGTCTCGCCGTGTAATCAGTCTGTGATAATTACTGTTCTGTAACTGTTTTTTTTTTCGCCTTCCCTCCCGCTGCTCAGGACGGCTCCAAGGGATGCGAGCCAATCGTGGTAAGTGATACCTCCGAACAGCAGTTCCACTTATTTACACAGTACACATTACGCAGCCCCATCGCCTACCACAGTCATCAACGCACTTTTCCCTCACGCTGCTCTATCAGCCAGTCGGCAATTCTCCACGTTCACCCGCTCTAAAAATTCAGCTTTGTTTCCCCGATCGAAACATATGGTCTCTTCTATGTTGCGCTTTCACATCCAACCGTCCCTTAGAAACTCCCCTTCAATCCTCCCGCATCTCGCTCAGCAAGAGGGCTACGATTAATTCTCGGCACTGCCCCTTCGCACACCATACACACCACGCTTTTCAGGCCCCCTTCTCGCTCGATGTCTCCCATCAGTGTCGCTTCTCACTCATCTATCTCACCAGACCCCCTTTTACAAATTTCTACCATCAGTGTCCGCCTCTCACTCTCACCTCTCCCTAACCCGTGCTCCCCTCTCACTCATGCCTCTCTCCCACCAGTGCCCCATCTGACTCCCACCTCTTCCCATCAGGGTGCCACGATCAAGGCGGACGAGCAGACGGGCGCCATCGTGATCGCCCGAGTGATGCACGGCGGCGCTGCGGACCGCTCGGGGCTGATCCACGTCGGTGACGAGGTCCTGGAGGTGAACGATATCGACGTCACCGACCGCTCGCCAAACGACGTACTGCGGATACTGGTGAGGAACGGGTAGGGGAGGGATAGAGGGAGGGGAGTTAAGGAGGGAGGGTGGCGCAAAATGACCTCGCCGTTGGCGCGCCCCTAACCCCCAACAAACAAACAAACAAGGGAGGGAGGGTGGTTGAGTGGAATCGAAGAGCATGGATGTGAGAGAAGAAGGGGGGAGAGTAGTAGTGTTCAATATCCAAGGAACTGGTGAGTGCAAAACGGAAGGGTCTACTGTTGTAATCGATGATCCTTGGTCAGGGCTGTTCTGCTATGGATGTGCTGCAGTGCCATCACTGCTGTCGGTGTTCGAAGATGGGATGAGGTGTGAAGCTCTAGTAAGTTTCTGTGGTTTGAAGATGTGCGTCGTCCATGAACTCGCGATGCTGATAATATTTACAGTGGAGCGAATAGTCGATGTTTATGGTCCTAGTCATCGTGTCTTGCCGGGATGTAAATGTTTACTGACAATTTCTCGCCACCACTGAGCGTGTTTGCAAACATGTCTAGCTGGTGTCTAACTCAGGTGCTGGAATCGGATCGTGCTCTTTGCGTCCTGGCCGAGTTAGATGACTATTGGCTGCTTTTTTCTGTTAAAGTGACCGATTCTATGTTGTCCTCACCAGTGTTGTTGCACGTCTAACGTTTTTCTCACCTTTTCCCGTAACAAAAAGCAAAAACAAAATAATAACGGCCTTGCTTCAATTGGTATCAAAAGTACGTATCATTCATTTATCGCCTCACGATTGTAGGGGACACATTCCCACATGTTGACCTAACTCCCGTCTGCCTCCCCCACAGACGCAGGCGCAGGGCACCATCACGTTCAAGCTGATCCCCGCCGACACTCGGCACTCGGCCCGGGAGTCCAAGGTGCGCATGCGCGCCCTGTTTGACTACACGTCGTCCGACGACAAGCACATCCCGTGCCGAGAGGCGGGCCTCGACTTCAGTCGCGGAGATATCCTGCACATCGTCAGCCAGGACGATATCTACTGGTGAGAACGACGCTCGATACGGTGGAATTTGAATCATTTTTGGGGCTCAGTCGGCCCGAACGCAACAGCCGCTATATGTGTTGTGTCACATAGTTTTATCAGGCGTAGATTGTAGATTGAATGGCATTCCATTTTGCCCCATTTTTTTCAATCCTGAACCAGTGTCATGTTGCGGTGAGCGGAACCTGGTGGTCACAGGGATGGATTTATAATTGAAAACCACCGTTTTGGCGACTAACTGGTTATGTTTCCTGCCGACCCCTACCAGGTGGCAGGCGCGGCGGGAGGGCGACTTCAGTATGCGGGCCGGCCTGATCCCGAGCCGGGCTCTTCAGGAGCGCCGGATCCTGGCCGAGAGGACGCAGCGGGCCGACGATAAAGGTGGGCGCCGGTTGTCATCCGTCTAACGAGCGGGAGTTAGCTTAGCATAACCTGGATATATAATTTGAAGTGTTACTTAATGGCTCGTTGTTTAAATAATGAGCACCGGCTTACTTCAAGGCGTACTGTTAAATATTTACTAGAACCTTACTCTATTCTTGTGCTCCGCTTTTCGTTTCACAAACTAATTGCAATGAAACTCGGAAACTATCGTTGATATATTGCCTGAGAAACGCCGATTATATCGAACCAAGACCATATATAGGCCTAGAGGCGAGCTGCCCCTCGCACGCTGCTTGCGTCCAGTGGATCCATCCTCACGTGCCCGTGACGTGCGTTGCAGGTATCTCCTGCGTGGCGCGCTCGCCCGGCAGCCGGACCACCAAAATCAAAAAGATCATGTACGACGCTGCCGAGAACGACGACTTTGACCGCGAAGAGGTGGCCACATATGAGGAGGTGAGAATATCGGGCAGAAGACATTTGAGGCTGCGGTGGTAGCCTGTTGATTCGGACCGTATTGAGGTTTGCAGGGCGGTGAGCAAACACCGTTAGTTGATCGTTTCGAAGGATGTATTTGGCGTGAATTGTGCTAATGCAGGTTTTGTGTTTGATGGTAGGACCGTTTACTGATTCGTGTCTGATGTGTCTCCGAGACCGAAAGGATCTAGAACGTGTAATTGCGCAATATGCGTCATATTCGATTCAGATATCACTAACTGTGCCCTCTGCTGTGATCAGGTGGCGAAGCTGTACCCTCGGCCGGGCTGCCAGCGGCCGATCGTACTGGTCGGTCCTCCGGGAGTGGGGCGAAACGAACTGAAACGGCGTCTGGTGGCCACCAATCCGGACAAGTACCGGTCCGTCATACCCTGTGAGTGCTGCGCCTTCTGTGTTAACGCTCGACCTACCCTACTTCCTGGCATGATTCACATTGTATTTAGGGTTCAGCTGAAGTAAATGTCCGCCCCAAAATAGCACTATTGCATATTGTAGCGAAACACATGCTTTGTGTTTATTGACTTTCTGTGATAAATCGACATCCTTGATCAGTTTCTCCAACATTGTATTCCGTTTTGTTCCATCGTGATAAATTATATACCTTCCACCCCTCTCCTGCGCCCCTCTGACCCCCTCCCCTCCCCTGCAGACACCTCCCGCCCGCAGCGACCGGGTGAGAGTAACGGCGTCGACTACCACTTTGTGTCGCGCGCCGACATGGAGGACGGCCTGGCGCGCGGACGGTTCGTCGAGTTCGGCGAGTACAGGGGTAACCTGTACGGCACGGCCCAGGAGAGCATCCTGTCCATCATCAACGCCGGACAGGTCTGCGTGCTGTGTCCCCACTATCAGGTCAGTCAGAGGCGGAAGGAGGGGCGGGGTGGGTGAGGTGTAACTAGCTAGAAAACTCTTAGTAGGAGAACTGGGAAGGGATGGGGTAGTGAGGTTGAGTGACGCATGCATTGCTGAAAGGTTTAAAATTGGTCATCCTGATGGGGAAGTGGAGGAATGGTAAATATAACATTTCGTGGTGATAAAATTAATTTATCGCAATTTACTTATGTTGACAGGCAATTACAATAAATATTTTCCATAGTTAATGCTGCTGCAGCTATCCTTGGACCACCTGACAGCCTCAGCTGCACGACTCCAGCGTCTTTACCCCGCTCGTTTCCCCGCAGGCGATCAAGATGGTGCGCACTGCCGAGATGAAGCCTTACATCGTGTACGTGAAGCCACCGCTGTATGATCGTCTGAAGGAGACCCGGGCGGCCAGCTACGCGCGCTCCACCTTCGACCAGACCAGCACACGAGGATTCACGGTGAGATGAGCGGAGAAAGGAGAGGGATGGGAGGATTCGCTAGGGGGTGGCAAGGGAACGGAAAACCGCACTCTGGGAGTTGTATGGTGAATGCACAAACATCATACTATGGGTTTACTTTTGTCTGTGCCAAAATGGTAAGCGTGTGTATAACAAATGCGACTGTGAACGTATGTGTAGATCACGGGCTTTTGTGAGGTTTATATGGAATTACTTCATCGGGTATTGTTAGCTGTGTTTAGTGTGCTAAAAGAGTTCGACCTTTTAGCGAAAAGGTCACCGTGTCAGGCCGTCGTGAAATTTCCATCCAAGGCCAACGCCGGACCAATTATAGCTGGTGCTGCACGCAGTGTTGTAATTCGATATCGGCAATAGCGCCGTGCCACAGTCGCTAACATGTTATGACCGGTCTAAATTGGGACGATTGAGCTAGAAAGTGTTTAACCTGGTGAGGTGAGTCAATGTCAATTACGGAATGAATGAGGGAGTAAATACACATTACACATGCGTGCATGGAATTGCCTGTCCCGTTGAAAGTACACACAATGTTCTTTTTCTTTCGACTTTTCGTCCATCGTCCAATGTAGACTATTATGATCGCATTAGGAAATCATTTCTCAAAGTGTGTTGTTCATCACTTGACTAACGTGTCATGCGGCGCACGCTTGCTCGTCAACCGTAAGTGTATATTAACTCGGATGCCGCCAGTCATTTTGTTTCCCAGTGCCCCTCACATCTGACCCCTCCTCCCCCCCCCCCCCCGCCCACCGCGGCAGGATGACGAGCTGCGCGACATGTTGCACTCGGCCGCCCGGCTCGAGTTCCACTACGGCCACCTGTTCGACGAGACCATCGTCAACGACGACCTGTCGACGGCCGTGGCGCAGCTGCTGCGCACGGCGCGCCGCGTCGAGACGGAGCCCCTCTGGGTGCCCGCCAGCTGGGTGCAATAGAGCTGCCGGCTGGGTGCAATAGAGCTGCCGGCGGCTCAACTGACGGCAGCGGCTCCAAACGCCGGTGTGACAGTGGGCTGCGCCGGGGCTGTTCACTGCCAGGTCCGCGGCGCCCGGTCGGACGGTTGAGATGTGAGCCTCGTATAGTCTCTTCCCGTCTCGTCTCCGGGCGGGAGATACTCAGATGTCGGACGGGGCGGTACGGACGGCCTCGGTGAGACAGATTCTTCCTGCGTCGGCGGCGGTCGTGGTGAGGCGCTCAGGCTCAAACCCTGACCGTCAGCGCCGATGTCGGCTAATCGCGGCTGCTCGCGGGGGATTGCAGACTGTTCCACTGCCGCCGCTGCTGCCTCGGACGTCTACAGAGATTCCTGACACGCTGGCCAGTTGGAACCGCCGCTCCTCAGTTAGGTCTCTCCGTGAGTAACTCTAATCGCCTCTCGGGCGATCGGAGACGCAGTAGGATGCAGACAAACGACTGGCTTCCACGCCTGACTGGCAGAAAATCGGGAGGGCATTGAATCCCGAAAACGAAATGAGACGTTCTGTTGTCTCCTTGTTCATATCCAGGAGCTTGACTCTGCGGCGGCCGACGGAGCTCTCTCGTCAAACTGTCGAGCTGACGCATCTGACCAGAGGTCGGAGTGCGTTTGTTAACTGGAGTACGGCGTCCCGTCGGTCGCTCGGGCTGACGTGGACGGCCTTTAGTCGTTTCCCAAAGACGCGCGGATAGCCGGTGTAAGCGGTAGAGTGAGTGTAGTGATTCGTAGCGGTGCCGGTGGGTAGGATGGTGTGTGGTAGCAGGCAGTGAGGTGGAGAACAGTGGTGGCGCTAGGGCTGAACTTGTTCCGGGCGGAATAACTCGGGAAAAGGGGAGAGGCCAGTGGCCTCAGGGCATCTACCGGCAAACTGGGCTTAAGTTTAGGTCTTGGATGGTTGAAGTGAAGAAAACGTTTCGGTTTCATGACGTCTTAAAATCATTGTTGATCACGGCTGATTATTTGCTGATTGGAGTTTTATGGATGTCTTTGACAAGGAAGCATTTCACAGAGTGACATTGGAACAAGCCGGTCATTTGGAGAGTACCCAGGCAGCTCGTTTTCTTTCAGTTTGCTTAGACTGTTGTTATCTTTTGAATTAAACACCGGATAGTAGATAGCATTATGGAATCTTTATCAGACGATTGTAAAACACTTCATTTTTGTTGTTGCTGCCCCAAGGGCGATTATATGCAGATATTTTTCGACATTTTAGTACATAGCTCGACATTAGCCGTTGGTCGTACGTTTGCGGGTCGGTAGTAAGAGAAATGCTGCGGCGGGATAGCCAGCAATCAATCATTCATAGCACTGGAGCTCATTTTACACGATCATACGATATTGACACACTGTGTTCACGTCAGTAATAGTTACGTGGTGTCACCACGCTTGTTACGACCGATGTATTTTCGCTCCACAGCCGCGTGCAATCTGTTTTAACCTTTTGTAACGGCATGTTTGTTGTTTGATGACACTCCTTAGTCAGTAGCGCAAATATTTCAGTCACTTATTCTAATGTGTTCGAATTTTATCGTGATAAGTTTCGATGTATTTTATGTGCATTAATTTGTTAGTGATATTGTCAATGAACACCGGGTTTAAATATTTCGTTTTGAGCTCGGCTCTAGGATTATGCACATTGAGAGCTTTGTTGATACATTGCATATGTTGCACGTTAGTGAAACGCACGGACAGTATTCATCGCTGTTATTGTTTGCATCGCACTGTACGCGATTATTATTTTAAGTCACGACATGCACGCTAGTTTGATATATTATTAGTTTGTTGGCTCTCTGTGGCCAGATTCAGGGGCATATCTGTTTCGTCATGTTGCTTGCTTGCTTGAAGCACGGCTGCCCATAAAAGCTAGCAAACTGCCTGAAGTAACAGACGATCAGTGTCTTTGATTTCTTTCCTCTAGCAGAGATGAGGTTACTTGTCTGACATTAACGCATTCTGATTGGCTCTCACTTATTTTTACTGAACTTCGATATTGACAAACAGCCGAACTGGTGAATGTTTGTTGCGTCTAGGAAACGGGTAGAGCCTTACGAACAAACTCCGATCAAAAGTGGCGGCGAGCTGACGTTGGCCTGTGTTCGATTCTGTTCTCAGGGTCTGTGTGTGTAGTGAGTGCCGTGCGCGTGCTGGGCCTACTGTGTTCACTAGTGAGGTGCTCCTCCTTGGGGAATACCTCACTCGACCTTTGACGAATATAGACCCAGGCAATGTGTGAGAGGCGCCGCGACGATGCTAGATCGGCCTTTGCAGTTCTGTTGTGGTGTGGTCGGCAGCAATAGGCCTTTTCGCGGCGAGTGATCTGCTAGCTTGAGCTCGATCGATGGTGCAGTGAACCTTGTCTCGTTCTAGATCTGACCTGTCCTTCGATTTATGTCGCGACCCTTTTTCACGGTGACGATTATCGGAGTCGTTCCGCGCAGGTTGCGAATGCTCTCAGTCTCGTTCATTGCAACTTTGTCTTCATTTTCGGCCACTCGGCCGTCTCCCTTTCCTAGTACCTTTCCAGTGACTGCCGGCTCCCGTGGGTAGTCGATCATGACGGTGAGACGCCTGCTGCATGACACAGGGCGCCTAGCGTTCTGAGAGGGCCGGCCGACCCATGGCATACCTTGTACTGTGTGAGCGAGCCGCCCAGGCCTGCGTAGACGCTTATCTCGGTGTTCTCTTCCCGACTTGTCCTGTGAGCTCGGCCCGGGCGTGTGTCGTAGTGGCGGACCGGCCGGCTGCGGTAGGGACCGGGCCGAGTGGTCGCCCGCTGTGTCTGTCTCCCCCAGTTTTGAGCGCCTTCCATGGGGCGGCGGTAGCGGCGGCCCGCGGTGCGTCTCGGCGGCAGCGCGAGGACCACTGCCGGACGCCCACAGTCGCGAGTCTGTGCTGTTCGTAATGCCGCTCGTAGAATGATATACCTCCGCTTGTTTGGTGTTCATTATCGATTCCCAATAAAGGTTACCCGGCAGGTCGGTGTTTTGTTTTAGTACCGGACAGGTTTGGAGGGTGCCATTGAGGAAAGGCCGTCAGGGAAAGACGAGGGAGGGTATCACGATTTGGTTGTAAACTGTTGTGTTTGTCAGTGGGACATCTGTTTATAAGGCATCGATACCTCCTTGCACCCTACCTCCATTCTCCACAAAGCCGTGTAACCAAGAATACTAGAGTTCTACCACACGCATGATCCTCCTCAGTCCTCAAACATCAATGCTCAAGTTTTCTATTCATCTTCCCGCACTATAGCACAATATGGTAGCCCTCACGGCATACATAGATGACGCGATTGGTACGAAACTGGAGCTCAATGAAAACAAAGGTTTGGTGTGGTGTTTCAAAAATTTATTTCGATTGAAATCAACATAATGTAATGACTTAAGTGATTTCCAGGTGCAAAGATATTTGGGAAGCACACTAACCAAGGTGTTGAAAAATGCCGAAAAGACTTGCGAATCAAGAAAGTAGGATGACAGATTTGGACGATTTCAATTTGAATGCTAAGAAATTTAAGTCTCAGGCTGATTCCCATGCTGATGCTGAAACTCAGGTCCGAAATCACGCCTTAATTAGTAAAACTACTATATCCTGGTGAGTTTTGAATGGCAAGAGTTCTTAGATAGATCTAGGTCCTAGACAGCAAAGGTGAAGGCGAGTGTGAACATGAATTAAATAAGCTACAGCTTGAGCTATATTTATATTTTTTTATTTTGAGCAAATTAAGACACTAGACTCTGAACTATTGGGTGTGGTTAGACTTTATGTAGGTTCCCAGTATTGTTTACTTTCTAAGGTTTTACAAACTTGGCTATCTAGTTATCATTAATGTGCATACCTACCTATTTCACAGCAATTCTGAGATGCCAATAAATGGCAATAATGGCGATGACGCAGGCTCAAAGGAAGGCAACCAAGACAACTTTGAGAAGCCTGGCACTGAGGTAAGCACAAGGAAAGGTAAACTAATGTAGATCAATATTTTGATTTGGTCAATTGTAGTGAGTACCTTTCACCATAGTGCATGCATAGTTCTTATGCTTTTGCTCCTTTTGGGTTATTTTTTTGTTATTTGAAAAAATTGCCCTGCAAAGTTTTGCTCACATTTACTTATCATTTCAGGGGCTATGCCACACCACCAGATTGCCCACACCGCTCTCTGACAGTTCTGGTGACCAACCAACCTCTCTTTTCACAGCTGAAGATAACCCCATCTAACCCAGCCGACGATCGCGACTATTTTGCCTCATACAGCGGGCTGGACATCCACCGTACGATGATCGACGACTCTGCGCGCACTCAGGCCTACCGGCACGCCATCCTCACCAACTACCCGCTCTTCTATGGGAAGACAGTGCTGGACGTGGGCTGCGGCACCGGCATCCTGAGCGTGTTCTGCTGCCTGGCCGGCGCCCGCCGAGTGTACGCCGTCGATGCCAGCGGTGCGGCCAAGTTCGCGCGCGCTGTGGCGGCCGAGAACGGCTACTCGGACCGTATTCGCGTGCTGCAGTGCCGCGCGGAGGAGGCTGAACTCCCGGAGCAGGTGGATGTAATCGTCAGCGAGTGGATGGGCCACGCGCTGCTGTACGAGTCCATGCTGGACTCTGTGCTGGTGGCGCGCGACCGCTGGCTGCGGCCCGGTGGCGCGCTGTTCCCCGAGCGGGCCGTTCTCAAGATGGCGCTGTGCACTGCACCGGAGCTGGCGCTGGAGACCGGCGGCGCGCAGTTCTGGCGCGGCGTGTACGACCGGTACAAGGTGAGGATGACCTGTCTGGCGGAGGTGGAGGAGCGGCGCCGCTGGAGCGACCTTCCGGCCCGCGTCTGCGCGCTCCTTCCCGAGGAGCTGCACTCGCACGCGGCCACAGTGTGTGATCTGAACCTCCACACGGTACGGGCCGAGGAGCTCCGCGAGCTGCGCGCTCCGGCAGTCGAACTGCAGAGCTTCGGGCGCGCACAGCTGACGGGCCTCGCGCTGTGGTTTGACGTGCACTTCCCGGGCGGAGACGAGCTGAGTACGTCCCCGTACGTCACGGAGACCCACTGGGGTCAGACGGTGTTACCCCTGGAGCCGGTGAACGTCGACCAGGACTCGACAGTGCAGTGTCCGATGGTTATGAGGCCGGACCCGAAACACCCGAGGAACTGGCGGTTTAGTGTCGACCTCGCTGTCGGGGACGGGGATTCCAGAACTATTCAGTGGGTTATGGACGGCACTGGATGAAGGGCTGGTGGAGAGCTGCTGGCATACCGTGATAAGTCATGTGAATGGGCTTTTCTCAATGGAAAACCTGATGGGAGTGTCGAGCGTTGTCATTTTGGTAGGTCTGTATTTTATAAAAGGCTTCGATTTGGTGGCAAGTGTACCAAATATATTGCCACCCGCGTCATTAGTGAATGTCAGTATTGGTTCAGCAACTTCCAACCGCTCCCAGTCCCAGACTGTCCGGCTGCTGCTGTTTTGTGTTTCATTGCATTCCCTACAGGGTGTCCCGAAAGTTTTGCAACATCCGTTTTCCCATATGTTTTGTCTCTACCGCTAATATCAACGTTCCACTGGCAACCTTCCGCTTGTCCCGGGTAGACGGCGCGACTGCCCACCCAACCCAGCGGCGGTTATTGCCGCGGGGCACGGCTGACCCGTCTGGGGCGGCCGCCGTCTGACCTTAGGTCAGTCGCAGACATGAAGGTGGCCGGGCGGGTAACGCGCAGAGAGGCGGTGCGCTCCCGCGCGATCGGGTTGCTGGAAGGTGGCGTGGCGCAGGGGGTTGTCGCAGAGAAGCTGGGCGTCGATCGGACCACTGTCTACCGGTGGTGGAAACGTTTTCGCGACGGCAAACCGTTAGCCGACAAGAAACGTTCAGGCCGGCCGCGTGCCGTGTCCAACGTCGCCAGAATCGTCTGTGCCAAAGTTGCTGGCAAGCGTGGCCAAAGCGTCAGGAAATTGGCCACGCGGCTGACGCGAAAGGGTTACCCGGTGTCAAAGTCGGGTGTCCATCGGTTCATGACCCAGTTGAAGCATTTCCGGTCGTACAAAAGATCAAAACAGCCGAAAATGACAAGAAAACAGAAGCTTGCAAGATTGGAATTTTGCAAGAGGGTAAAAAATTGTGGCTTCGATGAGTTCAAGAACGTCATCTGGTCCGACGAGTCCATCTTCGAAATCCAGCACACGCCAAATCGGCAAAACGATCGAGTCTGGGCGAAATCTCGCGACGAAGTGCCCCCGGTTGAAACCATCAAGCACCCCGCGAAACTCATGGTGTGGGGCGGAATGACCGCACAGGGCCTGACTGAACTTCACGTGGTGCCAGACTGTCAACACCGCATACTACGTGTCCGAGATTCTGGAGGGCTCACTTCTGCCGGCGGTCAACCGTAAGAGCAGCAATGGCGGTGTCACGGAGAAGAAAATCGTCGACCGGAGGTCAGAAGGAATTTTTATGCAAGATGGCGCACCAGCACACACCGCAAAGCGGACACAAGAATGGTGTGCGGAACACCTCCCAGGGTTTTGGGGTAAAGGGGAGTGGCCTGGCAACTCCCCCGACCTAAACCCGATAGAGAATGTGTGGGCAATCATGAAGGAGAGCCTCGACCAGCAGGAGCCCGCCACCAACCTGGGTCAGCTCGAGCGCCGGCTGAAGAAGGCCTGGAGAGACATCTCCGCGGACACACTGCGCCGCCTGGTGGCCAGCATGCCATCACGTGTCCAGAAGTGTGCCCGGCTTCGCGGTGACTATGTTGGTTGTTAAATAAAGCGGAAAGGACAACTCTGAAGTGTTTAATTTACAACGTTGTTGCAAAACTTTCGGGACACCCTGTAGACTTCGTCGAGCCTAATAGCGCGGCACCTGTTTCACCACGTCTGTCCAAGCCAGGACTCCGCCAGCTCCACAGCGAGTCACACGCACCTTCGCCCCCCACTCTTAAAAGAAAACTATTTCACATATCGTTTTATTCATTCAGTTTCTCCGTGGAATTGACCGCAACCATGCCGTACAATACACACACACGCACACAGTCTGTGCCCGGCGCGGCGCGACACCCACGGCTGTACAAACATTACAGAGAGGACACCGGCCGCGCCGGCGGACCGCCCGCTCGCGCGCGCGCGCCCAGCGCCCCCTGAATAAATAGCGCGCGCGCGCCGCGCACGGCCGCCGGCCGGTCCGCTCGCCCGGGGCAGTGGCGCCGCCACCGGCGCCGGCGGCTCCGCGGGCCGCGCGACACTCAACAGTCGGGGACGCCAGCGTGAAGTGAACTAAGACACAGCGTCGAGGACCAGATAAAAGCTAAAAGGCCGGCCGGCGCGGATGGTGGCCCCTGAGAGGGTGGGGAGGCGGCGCGGCGCCCGGCGGCGGCCGCCCGCTCGGCCTGCCGGTCGTGGAATGTGTGGCGGCGGCTATCACAAGGTTGGGTGGCGCGCAATGTGACCGCCGCCGCCGCTAGGTGTCGGACATGAACGAGTTCTGAGACTTGAGCTCGTCCAGCTCGTGGATCTGCTGTCGCAGGAAGAGGATCCTGAAACAGACGCACACACAGACGGGTCGCGTCAGACAGGGGGAAGGAGTCCAAAGCTGATAATGACTGTGATACACCTGAAAGTTATGTAACTAAATTCAACCGCCGAAATCACCTAGGTGTGGTAGGCCGACGCTCAACTCAACCCCAGAGGCCAGAATGAACCAAAATCTGTCCAGATTGAACCAAAACTTATTTTGAAATCAAATGAGCAGCTCAGTACAACCACACAATATACCAATGAACATCATACGCCCAGAACAGGACGGCCACATATTTGCTCCTGTAGCGCGCCATAAATCTCGGCCAGTCTCTTACCTTTGTTCCTGTAGCGTGGCCTGAATCTCTGCCAGTCTCACTAAAGAGCGGGCCATCTTGAGGTCGGTGGCCGCCTTGGTCATCAGCAGGCTGGCCACGTGGCACGCCTCGGCGCTGGTTCGGTTGGCCTGAGCGGACGGGGGAGAGCAATGGTCAGTCAACAGTGCTGTTGACGTCTGCTCAGACCAATGACGACCGAAGGTAGCGTGAGAAAATAAAGCTCAGAGAAGGACGCAACTGCAAGAGGCGTGACAACACCGCAAGCCACCACAAAGCCCAATAAATAAAGAAGGCGAAAGAAATGTGATGGTGAGCAGGTTCGTCAATGCAGGTAAATAACCAAAAAGCCCAACGCAACCCAGCAGCAGCTGGGTCAGTTCATGAGAGGTTCAGTCACATGACAATTGCCTGGCGGAAGCAGGATAAGTGATTTCGACAAACCCTATCCATTGATCCGCATTACAAATAGCAGTAATTGCCCTCCACTTCTGCCACGATTCTTTAACCACCCACCCACCACCCAGCCACGACGACCTTCCCCAAACCTCTGTTCGGACGGCCGGCCGGATGAACCGGATGGAATTACTCACCTGTTTCTCCATCAGCGTGGCCGGCCACTGGACCACGTGCTGGATCAGGTTCTCGCTGTAGTATTGGAAATGGGCCGGTGTGAGCTGCGGCGCCACGGCCGGCCGCAGCGCCGCCAGACTCGACTGCTGCAGGCTGCTGATGCTGCTGCACGGACTCGCCACTGCGCGACGGAGGCAGGGGAGAGGGGGTCAGGGCACGAAAACGGGACAACACGAGTGTCCTACCACTTACTCGGTGTAGTAAATGACTATGAGCATTGAACGCATATTTGACACTACACGGCATGTGAACCAGAATTTTCTCGCCATGACATCCATGGCAGCCAAAATAAATTGAAGAACTTCTAAACGCGAGTAAGAAAACAGAACATGATCAAACGATAGACACCTGGAAGTTCAAACGACCCGTTAGGAGCTCCTGGTAAAGACTAAAAGCTGCACCCAAAGTTTCCTATCACCGCACAAGGACAACCCTTCCGCCAAGCCGATTTAATTCATCTTCTCTCGAAGATTTCTGTCACAAAGTGCGCAGCTCTGCATTCCGCAGCATTATGCGAGAACAGCCGACCGCCCTTGACCACTGCCCTCGACTCGGGAATCGATCACCCCAGGGACGTGTCAACTTGGTGTCGACATTACAGCCGGTGCGCCGAACCGCATTTACCAATCAGCGGTCAATCGGGTCCAGTTACCGCCGAGCGGCCGGCCGTCCTTCGAGCCCAGTCTCGGCCGTGAACTTATGGTTCCGTGGTCCCTCGTGGCCCATCTCCTCCGAACCGACCTCACAGCCGCCTGCCATACCTTAAGACCGTAGCAGCCTCAGGCTACTGATACTTTCGACTTTGATTCGCAACTAAACTGTGCACTGCACAGTATGTTGGCATGATGAGCTGTCAACTGCCGGCTAGTTGGATCTGCAGTGCATGGACTCGCTAAATTATCCTTCAATACCAACACAAGAACACCAAATCAGTCCGCCTACCACCCCTCTACACCAAACGACCAACGAAAGAACCCCACTCAATTCTGTACAGACATATCCACTCTCCCTTTCTTTCCTATCTCAATCTGGTTCTTCTCCTTTCTCCTTTCCACTGAGATTCGCACTCCCCTCCCCCCGTCCGTCCACTCACGGTCGGCTCGCCGGTCGGGCGTGTCCACGGGCTCGGAGAGTGTCGGTGTGGGCGGGCCGCGGTCCTCCGCCGGCGGCGTCTCGCCGCCCGGTGCCGCCTCCAGGAGACGCGGCAGCGCCGCTGACAGGCTGACGGCCGTCAGGCTGGCCAGCCGAGGCGCGGCGGCCTCCGACAGACCGCCGCCGCCGCACGCCGCCTCCTCCGTGGGCGTGCTGTCGCCTGAAGAGATCTCCATGTCCTGCTGTGGGTCCGGAGCGGCCGGGTCAGGTTAGGTTATCATATACTACTGCAGGTCCGGGACGAGGTAAGGTCAGGTCAGATCGCCACACGGGTGGAGGACAGGGCAAGGTCAGATCTTCAGGTCCTACTGCGGCGGTGTTGGATTTCACGCACTGGCCTCCGTAGACTACAGCCGATTACGAGATAACAGCTTGCGATTTAAACCCCTCAGCATCAGTCAGTAGTGCAGCCGACAAGAGGCCGATCAGAGGACGTGCACGCAACGTAAATCTTTCAGTTGGCTGGGTGTAATTTTCCGACCAAATGTACTGCCTCCCTGAGTATCTGATGTAGCGATTTGAATAAGTGGTAAAATACCTGGGGGCTTTGATGATCATGAGTTAAGCTCAGTTTTAGTCACTGTGTAAAACAATGTCCGCTAGTGATCTTTACCGGAAAGGCTGAGGAATGAATCGGGATAGCTCGACAGAGAGGCCTTCGTTACTGGTCAAGCTGTTCAAGCCGGGAAATTCATGAAGTCTTGTCCGGTGAACTATTGATAATAAAGTAAAGTAGCTTTCAATCTCACCAGTATAGCGCCTTTTGGGGCGACTAACGGAGCGAGCGAGGGGGCGAGTCTTGCACGTGCGAACTTTCGAGGGGGTACCTCCAACTGACTTGTGCACGGCACCCTACTGACCGGTTTCTAGCGATGTGCCAAATTTGAGCACAATCGGCCCAGCCGTTCTCGAGATCTGGGAGCGGCACCCTGCACGTGCGCACGTGCAAAATGGGTCTCAACTGACTTGTGCACGGCACCCTACTAACTGGTCCCTAACCGTGTACCAAATTTGAGCGCCATCGGTCCAGCTGTTCTCGAGATCTGGAAACGACCCCTGCACGTGCGCACGTGCAGCAGCACCCCAACTCTGGCACATGGATATGCAGTGCCTAGTGGGTGCCTACCTAGTAGGAATAGTCCAATACTTGGTAGAAGGAATGCAGCTACCCTACAAAAATTACCGCATGTAAATCGGTCAAGTGGTTGCTGAGATATAAGCCTCGCAAAAGCGTCCGCACGGCCGGCCGGCCGGTCGGCCGGCCGGCCGCTCATACTCAGAAATTTCTGTAAATCTAAGGAAAGACTACGCTCGCTTCGCTCGCTCCGTAATAAACGTTGTCAAATAAAATGGCTCACAAAACCTTTCACGCAACAGACGACAACGATACATTTTGTTGATAAACTTTTTGATTCCATAAAAGTGCAAAATGCTGCGATGATTCCATGACTTACCACCGCTGCAAGGTTAAAAAAACCAAGGCGGATTCCGAAAATCCGTGCATCCTAGACATGAGCCACTTACTATGAAATACAACCCTGCTACATAAGCAATTATCATTCAGCAATAATTTCGCATGAACACAGCCTACAGGTATCTTTTCATCTATGAAAGTTCTTGCATATATCGACACTTCTCTAACAACCCACACCAGCTCAGTTGCTGACACGGCCAGCCATTCGAAACTAGTAAGACTTCTACGGGGGAATCACACACAGACAGGAGACTATCCACTGTGTCCAGTGTCCACTGTTTGTCACACGGAGAGCACCACAGGGGGAACGGCGGGGGACGCGTCACAGGGGAGGGTCGGACAAACACAGGGGCCGCTAATTACTAACTGTTATCTACGGGAGGGTCGGCGGAGGGTAGGGAAGCCGGCAACGGACGGAGGCAGGGGAGGCCGGACTGCGCTAGGGAGGGGAGAGAGCTACACGCGCTGGCAGCTAGCGCTGACCGTGTAGCGGGACGGGAGGCAGGGGAGGCCGTAGGAGGGGGAGAGAGCTTCAGGCACTGGCAGCTGGAGCTATGTGCAGATGAGGAGGCTGGTTGGGAGAGGGAAGAGCTTTAAGCGCTGAGAGTGAAGCGGGGAGATTGCTTCACGCGCTGAGGTTGAACTATGTGAAGCGGGGTAGGATTCCGACTGGGAGAGAGCTAAACGCGCTGGCGGCTGGCGCTGCGAAGCGGGCAGGAAAGGCCGGCAAGAAAGGGGAAGAGCTATACGCGCTGGCAGAGAAAGCTGTACGCGCTGAGGCGACTGTAAAGCGGGCAGGAAAGGCCGGCGGATTCGGAGCTCCGCTCGCTGGCCGCTGTGACTGTGAAGCAGGGCAGGATGCCGCCTGGGGAAGGGAAGCTAACGCTGCCGTCCAAAGGAAGAAAACCGTAAGCGCCATTTACCAAATTTTACAGGAGAGCACTTTTTCGGTTTTCATTTAATACACTCTTACAGAGTGGATGTTTATTGTAAAATTAGGTATAGAAATGATGCTTTCTTTATCAGCAACCTACTGATATGCTTTATTTCCCTCAAAATTGAATACTTTTTGCTATATTTCAATAAATGCTTTTTTCCTTAGTCAACAAGTCAACATTTAGGTGCATCTGTCAAGTCAAATAAACGTATGTCAAGCCTGAATCTCACGGATGGCGGATACGCTTATTTACCTTGGTCACCATGGGCCGAGAAAAAGTGGCAAAAAGACGTATGATGTGACTTACGTCTTTTTGTTTTTGATACTAACCTCCGTCTTCCTACTCAATGACCGGCCAAAAAGCGTAAGTGCACGATACGCCTTTCTGCCCTTTGTCATTTCAGCCGAATTCGAGATAAAGTGACAATAAAATAGCCGTATGTCGTACCAGAAAATGAATGAAATGAATGAAAAGGAAAGAATGAATGAATGAAAAGCGTATTAAGTACCTACACATGAATCCGGGGCAACTGCGTAAAATAATGCGGCAAATGAGTGTAAAAACGGAGTCAGAGTCGGGGTCAGTCGAAGTCAACAATTCTGACAGGAGTTGGAGTCGGGATCGGAGCAACTTTGGAAGCCGGAGTCGGAGTCGCGACTTCGACTCTGCATAATTCATTGCCTGGACAGCGACACGCAGGGATGCGGAGTCGGGGTCGGAGTTTGAGTAGGAGTTGGTCGGAGTCTACAGTTCTTCACGAAGTCGGAGTTGGAGTCGATTTTGGGAGCCGGAGTCGAGTTACCGAAAATCTCGACCGCTCAGCCTTGGTCAAAACAGAAGCGTCGCTTTCCTTCTAGCTCAGGATGTACCGCACTGTTGTCTTGGCTCTGTTCTGCAGAGCAAGCAAGAAGTCTGTGGCGGGAGATCAGCCCCAGCAGATTCTTGCATGGCTCGTCGATTTTCTTGTGCAGCATACGGGTAAAGATCCGGAGGAGATTGCCTTCTCTTTAGTGCTCGAAGGTACGGCTCTCGCGAAATTAAGCGGTAGGTTTGCACTTTTACATTTCCGGTTATATCTCAGAAACTAATCGAACTACGATGAAGCTATTTCACGATCATGGCCGGCTTGTGAACCAACAAGTCGATCGCATCTTCAACACTTATAGGCGACGAATGTATAGCCTGAAGTACACTAAATTTTCTAGGTGCAAACTGCAAAACCTACCGTTAAAACCCGCGAGACCTGTACCTGTAATACGGTGCCGCCGGCGGATACGACATGCTGACGGGACGCTATCGTGTCACAGTCACACTTAATTGTGTGAGTTCCACCTCCTCGCCTGTCCTTAGGAGTGGCTGACTGCGTACTTGACTGCTCCACCCCGTTGTGTATCGAAGCATCGTTGCAGGGTAGGCGGTGGTCCGTACCATAACCGGCTGCCCCCTGTCCACCCCGGTTCACGTTGTGATGACGGAAACCGGGCTGATGCCGGTGGCCGCCCGCCGGGCTGTTTTAGAGGCCAAGCTCCTCGCCAAGGCATACGTGCTAATCGAAATGACCCGCTCAGGTCAGCCGCGGAGGCGGAGGGGCGACACCGGCTGAAATTCGTGACGGACTGGTGCGAGGCCGTGTGCGATGCGTGACGGGCCGCTGGGATCGTCCCACCGTTCAGTCACCCTGCAGCCAACCCGCTCACCGCCGTGGGAGGTGACTGCCTGTCCCCACGTTACATTCGGCCTGGACATCGAGATTCTGCGACTGGGAGCCTCGGCCGATGGTCTGCGCCGGGCGGCGCGGCGACTTCTGATCTTTCTTCTCCAACGAGCCACCTGGGTGTGGACGGACGGTTCGGCGGACGCTGGAGTCCACTGCGGAGGAGCTGGAGTGTTCGTGGACTGGCCGGACGACTGACGAGCCGCGCTCCCGTCGACGTCCACCAGCTCCGCGCCGGGCACTGAACCAGGTCCCAACAGTGTTTACCCAAAATCGTCAAAAGTCCCACTACCGCCTGCGCCAGGTGCGAAGATGAAAGATGCACCGCGGCCAGATGCAGCATCTGTCTTGAAGAGGCGGACACCCTGGCGCACGTGCTACTGAGGTGCATCAGTCATCACCCTCATGACCTGCGGTTTTGCGTGCTGGGAACAAACCACCCGACGACCGAGGAGCTGCGTAGCGCCGACGTGGTGGCGGCTTTGGGGGGCCGCCTTCGTCTCCCTTCAGAGCCGATTGGCTACCCCTCTTTGGGCCGCAGAGAGACAAACAACAACAGCTGAGCTCCCCGGCCGGCCATGTCTTCTCCAGCTTCAGGACGGAGCTGGCCGCGCTCCGCTCAGCCCTGGACCACATGCGAGCGAGACCATACGCAGCATGCGAATCTTCCAACAGTTTTTTTTTTGTACGGACTCCCAGGCAGCACTCGCGGCCCTCCGGGAGGGGGTTGGGGGGTGACCCAAAAGTCCCCGCTGGGTACCGTCGTATGGATGGGTTTGGCAGCACTGGTCGTCCCGCCCCATCACATCCACCTGCAGTGGGTGCCGTCCCGCTGCAGCATCGACGGGAATCAGCGCGCCGACCAGGTCGCCAAGGAGGCGGCGACGCTCCCCAAGCAGCGGTCCAGGTGGATGTCGGCACCGCCCACCGCGCGGTTATCAGAATAGCATGCGACCGCGCCGTCGCCGCCTGGCCGGACGGCTGGTACCCGGGACCGATTGCCACCGCCGCGCCGATGGCGGAGGAGGACCGCTCTTTAGCCGAAGACGTTCACCAGCTCTGTGCGAGCTACTGGTCGGGGCCCCGCCAGAGCCTGCACTGGATCGTATGGAACTCTACCGTGGAGTGCTGCCAGTGCCCCGACACCGATTGCGCGGCGGGCCGGTGCACCGTGTGCCGACAGGAGGCATACACTCCTGTTGTTGTTGATTGTTGTTGATTTTCCCTCCGGCTGCGGGTGGCCCCGCGGCGTAGCCTCATCGGCTCTGGAGGGCCCTGAAGGCGGCCACCAGGGCCGCCACCACGTCACTGCGCCAGACCTCGTCGGGTGTTGGTAAGATGTTCCTTACGGCCGGGATTCTGAGGCGAACACCCATCAGGCCCGGGCACGTGAGCAGGATGTGCCGGGGGGTGTCCGCCTCTTCGCCGCACAGCGGGCACCGGGCGGCCTCGCATAGCAGGTCCCGGCATTGGGCGCAGGCGGCTGAGGGGCTCCGGCCGATGGAGTGCAGGAACTGGGTCGATCCACTCCAGTGGCCAGTCCGGATCTGGTGGACATCGATGGCTGATCGCCGATCCAGGTTGGAGATTGGGGGCAGGTATCTCGTACCCATCAGCTCACGGTACCAGCCGGTCGCCGCTCTGCGTGTCGGGTCCGGGTATGACGGTCTGTCCCTGGCGCCCGGTCCCTGGCTAGACAGTAGACGGACCGCAGCCTTGTAGATGGTGTTGACGTCGATGGAGGCGATTTCTTGTTCCAGCGCCGCCGCCTCTCCCGCCAGCACGTCCACCGCCTCGTTGCCTGGGATCCCACAATGGGAGGGGACCCACTGCAGCGTCACGTGGCGGTCCGGTGCAGCGATTTCCAGCAGGCGGCTCCATATCTCCGCCCCCTTGGCCGTCCTCTGGGCCGAAGGCCCCTCTCTCAGTGCAGCCAGGGCAGACTGTGAGTCAGTACAAATAAACGTATGTCCATCGAGCTTGCCATTTTGCTTGGGGACGGGTATACTGACAATGGATAAAAACCGTAAGTCCATCGTACGTCTTTTTGCCATTAGAAATTCGGCAGGGTGACCAGGAAAATAAACGTATACGCCCACATACGGCTGGCCGAAATTGTCGGACAATCCTTTCCAGAATGGAAGATAAACGTAAGTGCATTTTTTCGGTTTCTACCAAGGCAAATAAACGTATATCCATCTGTAAGTTTATTTTCCGTTGTACCATGTTGACAATGTATGGTGGCAAATAAACGTAACTGAGCACTTGCGTCTTTTATCCATGGTTACTCCGAGTTTTAGCCGATTTTTCGTTGATCATACGTTTTTTTGTCAAAGATACGTTTATTTGCCAGTATTATAAAATGCTTTATGTGACATAAGGTTATTTTGAAATATTTTATTCTTGTATAACTTGGTATAAAATCATTTAATATCTGTGTAATGTATATGGTTAGATGCAGAATAACATGACGATTCCAATGATACCAATAACTCATTTTCGGTAAAAGTGGCGCTTACGGCTTTCTTCCTTTGTACGGCAGAACGCTGGCCGCTATGACTGTGAAGCGGGGCAGGATGCCGCCTGGGGAAGGGAAGCTAACGCTGGCCGCTGTGACTGAGGCGGGGCAGGATGCCGCCTGGGATGGACGGCGGTGAGGAGCGGCGGGGCCAGGACTCACGGGTCTGGCGGCGCGCCGGCGGCGCTGCCAGCGGCACCGGCGACTCCTCCCAGCGCGGCGGTGTCTCTGGAACCGGGACACGGAGCCACTCAGCGCGCGGCGCCGGCACCGACGCCAGGAACGGACCGACACCGGACGGTGCGTGAGAGGATAGACAAGCAGGAGGCCCACCGCCGACAAATTATAATGCATAACAAACATACTTGACAAGACATGTTGATATTGTGCAAATGTAGGCTAGAAAACTAATAGAAAAACGGGCACAATGAGACAGTTATAAATGAAAAAAGTCAAATACCAAAATTGCAATCCAACTGAAATAAAATGAGAACACAATGTTCAACATAACGACTACCAGGGAGGTAGACCGTGAAACCAGCACTTGCCCCGTCTCAGACCGTCTCGGGCGCGACCCTCAGACACCCTGTCCTCCCACCCCACTGCCGTGGGGTGGGAGCCCGCCCTCTCGTCGTACCTGTGTCTGTCCATTGGTGCGCGGCTCGTCGGAGCGCCGCCGCAGCCGGTCGGCTCGCTGCTCGGCCCTGTCGCGATGCGCGCGGCTGCCGCTGTCCCGCGGCGTGCCCACCTCGCGGCTCTCGCTGCCAGAGTCGCGCCGAGCGCCGGCGCCCACCGACACTCGGTCATAGCCTGTGGGCGGAGGGGAAATGTGATCAGCCTGTGGATAGAGAACATGTCATCCCAGGCAGGTGGATAGCTTACGGTGGAAGCTGTCAGCATGCGGACTGTGGCTGACTGACTGGGCATACCGCCATAGGAACTCAAATAGACGAGAAACACCATCCCGGCTAACATCTCCAGTCTCTCCAGTCTCTCCAGTCCAGTCTAACATCTCGTCGGGTCTCTGCTCAGTCAACACCACCACGCACCTGACTTTGTGTCCGCTGCTGCTGCCGAGGCGGCCGCCGCGGCGCCGGCCGATCCGGCCGCCGCCGGGGTGGCCGCGCCCGGCGCCGGCCGCTGGTGCGGGCCCGGCTCCGAGTCGCGAAGCTCGCGCCGCTCCGCCTCCAGCCACTCGCGCGGCTTGTCCCACTGGGACACCTCCGTCGTCGAGTTGTAGTAGTACTTTTTGCCCGACGAAGAGACGTGTTCCGTCCAGGACCCGACGCGCGACGGCCGGTCGTCCCTGCGCACCTGGGGACGGACAGAGACAGTGGGAGAGATGTGACGTGGAGCGCCAGTAGCTGGTTACAGAAACAGAAAACTAGGGGAATGTGGTGAATCATCATTCCCTTTGATACTTTTTGCCCATGCTTTATTATCAGCTAAAAATACATAAGCAACTTGACAAAGCGGATCACAGATTGAACCAAGAATTAACGGATCATGTTTGTTTGATTATGCCATGTTTGTATTCCAGTGAAATGAAAGGATCCAACAATGAACATGCTTATTGGCCCTTCATTAGTTTCATAAGCTCACCCTGACAACCACATCGTACGCAAGAATCACTACACACGAATCGTGTGCAGTGATTCTTGCGTACACGATCAATCTAGCCTAGAAGGCATTTAAGCAAGCAAAACGAGCCGCCAAACGACGGCACAAATACAAAGCACAAATAATCATGACCATGAAGCGCCCGTCAAAACAGGACACGCCGAGTCGAGCACCAACCTCTGATCTGTCCCTGTCTGACCGCTCGTACGAGCGACTCGAGTCTCGGTCCCTGTCTCGCTCTCGGTCCCGGTCCCTCTCGCGGTCTCTGTAGCGGTCCCGGTCCCGGTCCCGGTCTCGATCACGGTCCCGGTCCCGGTCTCGAGGACTGCTCTCAGAAGCTGAAACGCGACCAACAACGGTCAGAAGACCTATGTAACACCAGTGATGACCGGATCTCAAGATGTATAAAAAGGTAGAAACTGACTAAAAGGTTTTCAAGCCCTCTTAGCGTATTTGCCATCAGCTAACACAAAGGCGCAATTTGTTTTCGTTTCCCTCCCTTTCCTTCGCTAGCATTGAGGCATCACGACCAAGACACTTGAGTAAGTTAGAGCCAACATTGAGAAATCACCAAGCAATAGGAGTGGCAGAATTAGCTTTTTCATTTCCCATGGGTGGTTCCCCACTTGCAGCAGTACGCGGCTCGTGTCTGACCTCTGTGCCTGTCTCTATCTCGGTAGTCGCGGTGGTCCCGGTAGTCTTTGAGTCGGCCGTCGCGGTGGTACGAAGACTTGCTGCTCGCGTAGCGCGGACTCTGGGAGCGCGAGTCCGGGCTGACGCTGCGTGTGTAGCTCGGCTTGCCGTTGGGAGAGGTGTGCACCAGCATCTCATCGTACCCGGACTTTGCACTGTAGCTGTGAATGGAGGCAGAAGCTAGGTGTCAGAGTGGCGAATGACTAAGGACGTGATGGTCAATTTTAAAATTGACACTCCATCCTTGAAATTTGATATTTCATTGTTACAGAATTTAAACAATACAAACCAAAATATCAACTAATCACAGGAAAAGTGTACAGCACACATTTGTAGCACTCACTTATTACCATCATTTCAATGGGAAACCACAGTTTTGGTCTTGTCTGACCAGCAATTTTCCACTCTCCCCCCCCCCCCCCTTTGGTGAGGAATTTTAGTGACATACCATAGGTGAGACTTATGTGAAACTTCTGAAATCTGGTATGAAAAAGTACACACTATCCAGAGCTAAATGTCATAATTTGCAAAAATGATTAATGTTACCAAGGTAACCAAATTCATTTCTGATAAGCTGCTAAAAACATGGCAATAATGATATCCAATAATTAAGTAGAACAATTTATATTAAAATGACAATCTTAAGAATTATATCATTACAATTTAAGCCTCAATTGAGTTCCATGGTACTATGAGGCTTAAAACCATTTTAGAAAAAGGTGAGACAGGTGAAGCAGTTTTACATTGAAATCAGAATTATCTTCAATTTCCTTTCATCACTGGTCCATTAAATTTTAGCTAACTTTACTTAAAATAGGGTAGGTACATTTTAAACAAAGCTGAAAATGCTTTTCATATATTCCACATTTAACAAACTTATCAAGTCTTGATTTGTCAATTGCTATGAAGAGTGGTTATCATATTTGCACCATTTAGCATCTGTTACTTGTTTGATTGGTAGGTGATGGAAAACTAGCAAATAGAACTTATAAAACCTTGGAACTTTTGAACCAATCATTCCAAAAGGATGACAAGATGTATTTTTCTTTAAATACAATAGGTATCACTAAATTCTTCTTTTATCAGTAGGTATTGATCTGAATTGATTTTACAAATAAGTGATAAATATTTCAAAAATATGTGCACTTCCATTAAAAAAACACAAGGAGCAATATCCACACAGCCAAACCAAGCAGCATTGTGCATGCACTATGCAGAGCATGAGGAAATTGCTGGGGCAGTTACATGACCAATGACTCAAACCCTACCCCTCTGCTCTTTCTCTTTCTGTAACTCTGAGCCTTCATTGTCCTTACTCCAGTTATATCATTAAGCATATTTTAGAATTGCATTGTTGAACAAGACAAATGCATGAAATCTCTACCCACGCCCTGGTTTTATGTGCAAAAACCTTTAACCTTTATGAACATACAACTTCACTCATTTTTTTTTTTGCAACAGTTTTATGATTTCTTATACCTACTTAAAATGATGAAAAAGAAAATAATCTTGATATTTACAAACATATTTTTGAAATATTTTCACATAGGAGGAACTATTTTTCATCTTTGGTAGAGGCTTAATAGTGTTTGCAGCAGAAGTTTATTATGTGTTGACCAATCATATTACGTACCAACACCTAGTTAAAAACAAACTGGATGCTGATTGGCTGATGACTGGCCACTGCCAGAAGTGGTTGCATTCTTTGGATTGTTGAGTAAGGCATTGCATTCCTCCTAAGGCAATGATTTCAGAAGTAGAATTAATGCATCTTTTCGTACGGCAATTGTTGGGGTGTAAAAGCTTCAGAATGATGCTATGTCTCAGCTCAAACTACAAAACTTGCCATTCCAAATGAAAACCCCATGTTAAAAGTGGTAATTTTCCTTGAAACAGTCAAGGTAAGAATAACTTAAGATATAAGCAGTGAATGGTCACCAATTATCAGCTTGCTGCCAGCAAGCTGCAAGGTGCGTATATCATGAGGCGGGGGTAAATGTCAAGTTTAAGTCCTAAGAAGATTTCATTGATAAATTTTTCATATTTTTACATTATTTGACATCCTGAATCCAAAAATGATACTCATATGTCTCGCAAATAAAAGAAAAAAAAAACATAATCAAACCTGACCTAACCTTACCTACATACCTATATGTAACGGAAGTTAGCAGGGATTCAGCAGGGGTTCAGCAGGGATTCAGCAGGGATCGACGGCCCCTACGATTTCGCTGAATTTTGGTGGAGAGGTGCAGAATGGTGTCCTCTATCGAAAATCCTAGTGCCAAAATGCGGGGAATCCATCAGGGGGGCCACAAATCCCAAAAAACAGTATGCCCTCAGGGCACAATCGACGAACTTTGAAAACCCTACTTCTAGCCGTCAAAACAGCTAAAAATGCACGTCATTCGAAAGAGGACAAAATTTTACGTGCAACGAAACCAAATTTAGGGGGCTAGCGCCCCCCTGAACCGAACAAAACAGCTTCAAATATATGGGCCCGGGAGTATGCCCTCGGGGCATAAATAAACGTTTTCAACAATTTCGGGCCTATAACATCGACAAAATCCAGCAATATGCACATCATTTGAAAGAGTGTAATTTCCCAAACAAAAAACCCAAGTAACATTTTTCGATGGGGCCCACCTGGGGCCCACGGGACACAATTGAAATTTGGGGCCAAATGGGGCGGCCCCTAAGATTTTCTTCAAAATTTGCACAGACACTCTCCTGGGCCCCCTCTTCAATCTGGCTGAAGAAACCTACCGGGGAATGCAAAGGAAGGGGCCCAAAGAGGGCCCCAAAGAGGCCCTTTCTAAGTATTGCCCCTAATTTCGCGACCAACCCCGGCAATATGCACATCATTGGAAAGAGCGTAATTTCCCAAACAAAAAACCCAAGTAACATTTTTCGATGGGGCCCACCTGGGGCCCACGGGACCCAATTGAAATTTGGGGCCCAATGGGGCGGCCCCTACGATTTTCTTCAAAATTTGCACAGACACTCTCCTGGGCCCCCTCTTCAATCTGGCTGAAGAAACGAAGAAACCTACCGGGGAATCCAAAGGAGGGGGCCCAAAGAGGGCCCCAAAGAGGCCCTTTCTAAGTATTGCCCCTAATTTCGCGACCAACCCCGGCAATATGCACATCAATAAAAAGAGCGTAATTTCCCAAACAAAAAACCCAAGTAACATTTTTCGATGGGACCCACCTGGGGCCCACGGGACCCAATTGAAATTTGGGGCCCAATGGGGCGGCCCCTACGATTTTCTTCAAAATTTGCACAGACACTCTCCTGGGCCCCCTCTTCAATCTGGCTGAAGAAACCTACCGGGGAATCCAAAGGAAGGGGCCCAAAGAGGGCCCCAAAGAGGCCCTTTCTAAGTATTGCCCCTAATTTCGCGACCAACCCCGGCAATATGCACATCATTGGAAAGAGCGTAATTTCCCAAACAAAAAACCCAAGTAACATTTTTCGATGGGGCCCACCTGGGGCCCACGGGACCCAATTGAAATTTGGGGCCCAATGGGGCGGCCCCTACGATTTTCTTCAAAAATTGCACAGACACTCTCCTGGGCCCCCTCTTCAATCTGGCTGAAGAAACCTACCGGGGAATCTAAAGGAAGGGGCCCAAAGAGGGCCCCAAAGAGGCCCTTTCTAAGTATTGCCCCTAATTTCGCGACCAACCCCGGCAATATGCACATCATTGGAAAGAGCGTAATTTCCCAAACAAAAAACCCAAGTAACATTTTTCGATGGGGCCCACCTGGGGCCCACAGGACCGAATTGAAATTTGGGGCCCAATGGAGCGGCCCCTACGATTTTCTTCAAAATTTGCACAGACACTCTCCTGGGCCCCCTCTTCAATCTGGCTGAAGAAACCTACCGGGGAATCCAAAGGAAGGGGCCCAAAGAGGGCCCCAAAGAGGCCCTTTCTAAGCATTGCCCCTAATTTCGCGACCAACCCCGGCAATATGCACATCATTGGAAAGAGCGTAATTTCCCAAACAAAAAACCCAAGTAACATTTTTCGATGGGGCCCACCTGGGGCCCACGGGACCCAATTGAAATTTGGGGCCAAATGGGGCGGCCCCTACGATTTTCTTCAAAATTTGCACAGACACTCTCCTGGGCCCCCTCTTCAATCTGGCTGAAGAAACCTACCGGGGAATCCAAAGGAAGGGGCCCAAAGAGGGCCCCAAAGAGGCCCTTTCTAAGTATTGCCCCTAATTTCGCGACCAACCCCGGCAATATGCACATCATTGGAAAGAGCGTAATTTCCCAAACAAAAAACCCAAGTAACATTTTTCGATGGGGCCCACCTGGGGCCCACGGGACCCAATTGAAATTTGGGGCCCAATGGGGCGGCCCCTAAGATTTTCTTCAAAATTTGCACAGACACTCTCCTGGGCCCCCTCTTCAATCTGGCTGAAGAAACCTACCGGGGAATCCAAAGGAAGGGGCCCAAAGAGGGCCCCAAAGAGGCCCTTTCTAAGTATTGCCCCTAATTTCGCAACCAACCCCGGCAATATGCACATCATTGGAAAGAGCGTAATTTCCCAAACAAAAAACCCAAGTAACATTTTTCGATGGGGCCCACCTGGGGCCCACGGGACCCAATTGAAATTTGGGGCCCAATGGGGCGGCCCCTACGATTTTCTTCAAAATTTGCACAGACACTCTCCTGGGCCCCCTCTTCAATCTGGCTGAAGAAACCTACCGGGGAATCCAAAGGAAGGGGCCCAAAGAGGGCCCCAAAGAGGCCCTTTCTAAGTATTGCCCCTAATTTCGCGACCAACCCCGGCAATATGCAAATCATTGGAAAGAGCGTAATTTCCCAAACAAAAAAACCAAGTTACATTTTTCGATGGGGCCCACCTGGGGCCCACGGGACCCAATTGAAATTTGGGGCCCAATAGGGCGGCCCCTACGATTTTCTTCAAAATTTGCACAGACACTCTCCTGGGCCCCCTCTTCAATCTGGCTGAAGAAACCTACCGGGGAATCCAAAGGAAGGGGCCCAAAGAGGGCCCCAAAGAGGCCCTTTCTAAGTATTGCCCCTAATTTCGCGACCAACCCCGGCAATATGCACATCATTGGAAAGAGCGTAATTTCCCAAACAAAAAACCCAAGTAACATTTTTCGATGGGGCCCACCTGGGGCC